AAATAGGAACCAGAGGGTTTTGCCAGAGCTGGTGTTTTATTTTGAAATAGGAACCAGAGGGTTTTGCCAGAGCTGGTGTTTTATTTTGAAATAGACCAGAGCTGGTGTTTTATTTTGAAATAGGAACCAGAGGGTTTTGCCAGAGCTGGTGTTTTATTTTGAAATAGGAACCAGAGGGTTTTGCCAGAGCTGGTGTTTTATTTTGAAATAGGAACCAGAGTGTTTGACCAGAGCTGGTGTTTTATTTTGAAATAGGAACCAGAAGGTTTGACCAGAGCTGGTGTTTTATTTTGAAATAGGAACCAGAAGGTTTGACCAGAGCTGGTGTTTTATTTTGAAATAGACCAGAGCTGGTGTTTTATTTTGAAATAGGAACCAGAGGGTTTTGCCAGAGCTGGTGTTTTATTTTGAAATAAGAACCAGAGGGTTTTGCCAGAGCTGGTGTTTTATTTTGAAATAGGAACCAGAAGGTTTGACCAGAGCTGGTGTTTTATTTTGAAATAGGAACCAGAGTGTTTGACCAGAGCTGGTGTTTTATTTTGAAATAGGAACCAGAGTGTTTGACCAGAGCTGGTGTTTTATTTTGAAATAGGAACCAGAGGGTTTTGCCAGAGCTGGTGTTTTATTTTGAAATAGGAACCAGAAGGTTTGACCAGAGCTGGTGTTTTATTTTGAAATAGGAACCAGAAGGTTTGACCAGAGCTGGTGTTTTATTTTGAAATAGGAACCAGAAGGTTTGACCAGAGCTGGTGTTTTATTTTGAAATAGGAACCAGAGGGTTTTGCCAGAGCTGGTGTTTTATTTTGAAATAGGAACCAGAGTGTTTGACCAGAGCTGATGTTTTATTTTGAAATAGGAACCAGAGGGTTTTGCCAGAGCTGGTGTTTTATTTTGAAATAGGAACCAGAGGGTTTTGCCAGAGCTGGTGTTTTATTTTGAAATAGTAACCAGAGTGTTTGACCAGAGCTGGTGTTTTATTTTGAAATAGGAACCAGAAGGTTTGACCAGAGCTGGTGTTTTATTTTGAAATAGGAACCAGAAGGTTTGACCAGAGCTGGTGTTTTATTTTGAAATAGACCAGAGCTGGTGTTTTATTTTGAAATAGGAACCAGAGTGTTTTGCCAGAGCTGGTGTTTTATTTTGAAATAAGAACCAGAGGGTTTTGCCAGAGCTGGTGTTTTATTTTGAAATAGGAACCAGAGTGTTTGACCAGAGCTGGTGTTTTATTTTGAAATAGGAACCAGAGTGTTTGACCAGAGCTGGTGTTTTATTTTGAAATAGGAACCAGAGGGTTTTGCCAGAGCTGGTGTTTTATTTTGAAATAGGAACCAGAAGGTTTGACCAGAGCTGGTGTTTTATTTTGAAATAGGAACCAGAAGGTTTGACCAGAGCTGGTGTTTTATTTTGAAATAGGAACCAGAAGGTTTGACCAGAGCTGGTGTTTTATTTTGAAATAGGAACCAGAGGGTTTTGCCAGAGCTGGTGTTTTATTTTGAAATAGGAACCAGAGTGTTTGACCAGAGCTGGTGTTTTATTTTGAAATAGGAACCAGAGGGTTTTGCCAGAGCTGGTGTTTTATTTTGAAATAGGAACCAGAGTGTTTTGCCAGAGGTGTGCCGTGTGAGCGTTGATTGTGACGATGCTGATGAACGCAGACGACAAGCAGATTTATTCTGTTGCCAGGAACAGCTTTGTCCTCGATGGGGACCATTTCTACAAACACCCGTGATAAATGTCCCCATAGAGAACAACCAGGTGATGTAGCCTGGCCACACCCCCTCTGGAGCTCGACAGCTCAGGTAGACCTCCCAGGTTACTGTGGTGACCCTAATGGGTCTCTGGCAGCAGGTTTAACATTTCTTAATGAGAATTAATGTTGTTCCCGTTGCATCGACACCCTCCAGCATTTATCTTTAGGTCCTCTCTCCTGTGATGCTTTGGGTTGGGTTGAGAAGACTTTGGTGTCTTTAGTGTCGCTGTGGGACTCGTGGAGGTGACCTGTGGTTTCAAGGATCAAAGCAGCTTCTCGAGCCAGCATCCACATCTGAAAGTGAAGATTTCTGCAGGAAGCTGGCTCTGACCGGAGTCTGGGTAATGGATCATCACAGGTTAAACTTCATCTTGATGTGGTTTACGGAAAGTTACATGCGACTAAGGTCAAAGGTCACAGCTAACAGAGGTCGTCACGTAGCATCAGTGGAGAAGGTCAGATCTCAGCAGCAGGACCAGATCAGGATGGGTTTGGTCCTCCTCACAGTTTATCCAACACCCTCTGTTTGCTGAAGTTCCTGCTCTGATGTTTATTTCTGGTGTTGGGAGGGGGAAGGGGGGCGAGTCTGTCGTCCTCCTCCTGTAATCCGTCTCTCTGACCTCCTCATATGCTGAATTATAATGAAACATTTCAAAGATGAGCAGTGAGTGTGTGTGGAGCACACACACTCACACACACACACACACACACACACTGAGGGATGTCAGATGATTGCATCATGCATTTCAGTGTGTAATAATGGTGTGTGTGTGTGAGCGGGAGGAAGCAGGCATTAAAATGAACAATATGTTTTCTTGCTTGTGTGAAAATTTTCTGCCACAAGATGGAAGCTGTGTGTGTGTGTGTGTGTGTGTGTGTGTGTGCGTGGGCTTGTCATCTCTGTAATGGTGTTGCTATCTGACAGAGAGAAAGACAGAGGAGCTGGTTGTCCCTGACGACGGCACGCAGTGTTGCCAGGCAACAGCGCTAACAATGGCCCACCACCAGTGCTCTAGAATGCAGGCGGGCCCTGACAAGAGGTGCCGCCCCGCTTTCATCCCATCAGCCCTGACATGAACGATGGATCCTTATCTTAGTGCCCAGATCCAGCTGGAAGACCTGCTTACCATTACTGTAATCCCAAAAGGTCCAGATGAAGGCAACACGACTTCTTTGGTTTCGTTAAGACGTTTCGCTTCTCATCCGAGGAGCTTTGTCATTTCTGACTGGAACATGGGCGCGTCAATATTACCATGACCTGGATGACTGAGAACCTTCACCAGCATATTTTACCATCACTGGTTTAAGGGTAATTCCCCACATCTTACTGGTTTTATGGTAAACAATAGCGTCTGGCAAAGATGCTGACAAAGAGCCTTTATGATAAGCAACATATATAGCAACAGTGTTCCCTCGCCCAGACGCGGATCACCACGGCCCCTACGCAGCCAGGTCTGCAGTTGGGGCACGTTGGTGAGCGCATGGCAGCCGGGCTTCGCCCAAAGAGGAGATATGGGTCCCCCTTCCCATGTGCTCTCCACTCAGGGGATGGGCCAGTGGGGGTCGGGTACGTTGTGTGTTGGGTGGCAGCCAAAAGCTGGAACCTTGCCAGTCTGATCCTCGGCTACAGATGCTAGCTTGAGAGATTCCAGCTAGATGTAGTCAGACTAACCTCGATGCAAGAATAGGCCTCCAGAAAACAGTTTAATCGAAAGGGATTGGACTTTCTATGACTCTGCAGATGACCCACTGGGAGGCGCCAAGCAGAGGTGGGGATACTTGTTGTCCCCCATCTTTGTGCCTGTATGATGGGGTTTACCCTGGTGGACAAGACGGTAGCCTCCCTCAGCCTACATGTGGGGGTGTTTCTGCTTATGTACCACATTGCAGATCAGACCATTCCCTGTTTCTGCTGTCTCTGGAGGGGGAGCTGGAGAGCGTTCCTTCAGATGAATCCATCATTCTCCTGTGGTAATTCATTACTCACATGGGCAACAACAGTGAGACCTGGAGAGGTGTGAAAAACGCCCCTCCCGATAGCAATCTGAGCAGTGTTTTGTTATTGGACTTCTGTGCTTATCTGGAACTGTCCATAATGAGCACCTTTATGGAACATGGTGCTCATTATGGACAGTCCCAGATGAGCACCATGTTCCATAAAGGTGTCCACGTGTGCTCAGGGCACCAGGATATCTTAGGCTGCAGCTCAATGATCGACTTTGCTGTTGTCTCATCTGATCTGCGTGTTTTGGACACTCGGGAGAAGAGAGGGGCAGAGCTGTCAACTTACTACTATCTGGGGGTGAATTAACTTCAATGGTTGGGGAGGGTGCCAGTCAAACCTGGTAGGCCTAAGCATATTGATTGGGGTCTGCTGGGAATGTCTGGTGGAATCTCCTGTAAGAAGGAACAAATTCCCATCTCTGACAGAATTTTGAACATATCCCATGGAGGCAGGGGGTATTGAGTTCGAGTGGGCCTTGTTCCTTTATCAAGGCGGCTGACCGGAGCTGTGGTCGCAGGGTCATTGGTGCCTGTTGTGCCGGCAACCCTCGAACTTGCTGATGGACACCGGCAGTTAGAAATGCTGTCAAACTGAAGAAAGAATCCTATTGGGTCTTTTTTGCCAGTGGGACTCGAGGCAGCTGAAAGGTACCGACAGTCCAAGGAGAATGTGGCTCGAGTAGTTGCAAAGGCAAAACCGCAGCTTTTGCTAGAATGGTTCACAGCTGAGTGTGAAGCAGCTGGGATGAGAATTAGCTCGGCTTAATCAGAGACCAAGGTCTTGAATGGAAACAGCGAAGAATGCCCTCTCCAGGTCAGGGACGAGATCCTGCCTCTCTTGATTGGTGAATCTACATTCCAACCCTCATCTATGGCCACAAACTTGGGTAGAGCCCAAAAGAATGAGATTGCGGATACAAGCAGGCAAAATGAATTTTCTATGCTGAATGTCTGGGCTCTTCCTAAGAGATAGAGTGGAAAGCTTGGTAATCCAGGAGGGGCTCGGAGCCAGTTTAAATGGCTTGAGCATCTCATTAGGATGCCTCTTGGACGCCTCACTGATGAGGTTTTTTGGGCACATTTAACCGGGAGGAGACACAAAGAAAGACCCACCACCACTTCACAACGCCCCGTGTAGAGGTCAGCAGCACACCGTCCCCACATAAACAGTGTTGGTGGCGCACTGCTTTCCCCTCTTCATGCCCCGGATGGTGGACCAGAATATCCTCAAAGTCATACGGAGGTCTTGCTCCATGGTCTCACCAAACTCCTCCCACGCCTGTGTTTTTGCCTCTGTGACCACCCGGGTCACATTCTGATTGGCCTGCTGGTATCCATCAGCTGCTTCTGGAGTCTCACATGCCAAAAAGACCTGATAGGACTCGATGGTATGCCTAACCATCAGTGTCCTCCAGTGGGTTTGGGGAAAGCCACCACGACAGAAGATGATACCCAGCAGCCGCAGATCCAGTTGGCCGCCTCGACAATGGAAGCACAAAACATGGCCTACTCGGACCTCGCCACCTCCGGAACATTTTCTGTCGGAGGTAGGAATTGAAACTTCTTCTGAAAGGAGACTTCGCCAGACGTTCCCAGCAGAGCCTCATATTACGTTTGGTCCGGCCAGGTCTGACCAGCATCAAAGGCAACTCACCACCAGGTGACAACTCCGCTCCTCTCTTCACCACTTCACTTCAAACAAACAAGCAAACAATTATTTGAAATAAATTTACATTTATTGCTGCTTTGTCTAAAAGTTTCAGAGCATCAACTAATCATCCTAAAACGAACTACTTTCATTAGAAAAAAACATATTTTCAGGAAAGACACTTGAGCATTTACTCCCGCAGCAATGTCCTGTGGGTAATACACTTCATGGGTGAAGTGCGGCTCAAGGGTGCGAAAGGGGCGTGATCAACTTCCGCACTTGAGAATCAGGGCAGCCTACGCACTCGTACCTCAGCATCATGCAATTGAAGGGCACAAGTGTGGAAGTGCGAGTAGTGGGATTGGGCCTACATTATGTGGTTCTCGTTGAACTCTAGGTCATGCGGTTCCTGTAGATCTGTGGATAATGGCCTTCTTCGAGATGAGATGGTTTCTTACAGTTTGTGCAGGAATTCTCTGGTTATGCAAACCGATTGTTGCTACAGCTGTCCAGGTGGCTGGTCTCAGGCGATCCTGGAGGTCAAAATGGTGGATGTGAAGGTCTTGGACTGATCGTTGACGTGCTCCAGACATCTGCGTCCTGAGCACGGCCACAGTAACATCAAATTATAGGTGCCGCCACTCCAAAAACAAATTTAACACGAGATCGTTTATGTCAGCTCATTTCCTTTTATGTTTTCTGTCTTTTATTTGTGCCTGATGTTTTACTGCTGTGGAGCGGAGCACATCACCTGTTTTGTCCTCCGGTGATGCACCAGTGCGGCTGGCGTGCAGCGCCAACCCGGCTGTTTTTGCGGTCGGTAGATCTTTTAGAACTGCAGTTCAAAGGTAACTCATAAGGTGAATATATATGAACCCAGGTAGCCATTTCTCTTTAGGATTGAGAGGAGATGCAGGAAGATAATAAACAGGCAGGACAGAAAAATAGTCAAATAAAAACAAGTTAGTTTTTGTACCTGCTGGTTGCAACAAACAGACACCATTGAAGGTAATCAGAAGTGAGGAACAGAAAATGAAATAATTATTTTAATGTTTAGAGCAGCAGGAACTCTGAGAGGCTGCAGGCGCATCAGTGAGTTTGCGGCCGCTGCACAGGGGGAGGGGGGGGGGGAGGGGCCCCCCCTCCCCCGAAAAAAAAAGCTTGGTCACCCATCGTCAGTTTTAGCTTCAGGTGTATGACGTCATCAACGACTAGTCGAAGTCGTTCATTACATGACGGTCGACTTTAAAAAAAAAATGAAGTCATGCAGCCCCTAATTCCTGCTGTCTAATCAGCCCCCTGATGTGCCGCACCTGTGAGGTGTGATGGATTATGTCGGTAAAGGAAAAGTGCTCACTAACACACATGTAGACAGATTTCAGGGTCATGGGTGTTTTGTGCATGTAGAAAAAGTTTCAGATGTTTGAGCTCAGCTCCTGAAAAATGGGGATGAAAACAAAAGTGTTGCTCTTAGTTTAGTTTAATATTCTGAGAAACTGAGTTTGGGATTTCCGTTAGTGGTCGGTTATAATCGTCATTTAAATAAACTTTGTCCAGATATTCTGGGTTTAAGACCGGCATGCGTGTTCTCCTAAGGAGCTTTCAGTCACTTGGAAACAAGAGACTGGATCCCAACAAAAATCATATTAATGACACACCCCAGCACTACCCCCCCCCCCCCCCCCCCCCCACTGATCTCCCCCAGACTGTGTTCAACAGCCATTTAATCGCACCCTGATAGGCTTAATGAGTGCAGCAGCCTCTTCTCTGCCTCCGCCGCTCCCACGAGACTCATCATCTCTCTTCCTCTCCTCCCTCTGGGGGGGGGGGGGGGGGGGGGGGGGGGGCTGACCAGGATGGAGAATGTTCTCCTTGCTCCCCCTGGTGGTGAAAAGCACAAACACCAGAGATTTGCTGGTTTTTCTGTAGACCGGTTTCATCTGGTTTCTGTTACAGACGTGGCTCAGTTTCATGTCCAGCCTGGGGTCAAAGGTCAGGACTCAGCTGGAGTTAGACACTTAACCCTAACCCTGATCCCAGAGTTGCTGCATGGCCTGAAGCAGGTCATGGGACCGTGTTCCAGCAGCAGGTCAGAACCAGAACCAGACTCCAGACCAGAACCTGACCTGAACTTAGCTCTGATGAGAAAAGGAGCGGGCCAGAGCTCCTCCAGAACCCTGAAGAGGGTTCTATTTAGGAAGACCCGGTTTGGACAGAATCAAAACCAACTTATGACTTTTGGGCCAAACCTTTATTCAGAGGATGTTTCAGCATGGGACCCATCTAGATGTCCCCACAAGGCCCAAGCCAGAGAGATGAACAGAAGAAAACACCTTAGAAGAGCGGATCAGAACCAATCCGGTAACGGAGTAAAAATCAGGAGGGGGGGTACACGATCAACACCAGAACCAGTTTGATGCCAGACCAACACACGTATAAAAATACTGAAATGACAAGGAAACCCAACAATAACTCGACCCAGGTCAGGACCAGAACCAAGCTGGGATCGGACCCAGCCAGAGGGTGGCGCTGTTCATCTGAGTTCTGACGCTCCTGTAGGATCGGAGGTGGGGGGGTGTCTGGAGAAGGAGCTGAAGAGACAGTTGGGGGCGGGGTCAGCTAGATGATTGTGGGCAGAGCTCTGGCGGCGGTGGTTCTGAGGTTCTGACTCCAGGTCGGACTTGAAGTGGACATCAGCCGGCGGGGGAGACGAGGGTAAGGCCTTGTGGTTTAACAAGTCCTCCGGTGAAGACAAGATTTCTGCTGTCCTTTTGTCCATTTGTCCTCCAGACACCGGGGAGGAGGACATGGGGTCAAAGGGCAGTCTGGGACCTGCAGGAGACACCCACTCAGTTCCCCCCGGCCCTGCTTCTGCATCACAGCGGGAACGAGCCGGGCTCCTGGTTCTGGTACCTCCAGGAGTAGAGTCCATGGACCGAGAGGGAGTCACAGGACAACAGTCAACAGGTGGAGGACTGGTCCCACTGGAGACACCAGACTCTCTGGGAGGAGTGGGGGAGGAGCACAAAGAGTCAGAGGAAGGTCTGTGAGACGAGGAGTCAGAGGGAGGCCTGAGAGACGAGGAGTCAGAGGGAGGCCTGAGAGACGAGGAGTCAGAGGGAGGCCTGAGAGACGAGGAGTCAGAGGGAGGCCTGAGAGACGAGGAGTCAGAGGGAGGCCTGAGAGACGAGGAGTCCGAGGGAGGTCTGAGGGATGAGGAGTCAGAGGGAGGTCTGTGGGACGAGGAGTCAGAGGGAGGTCTGAGAGACGAGGAGTCAGAGGGAGGTCTGAGAGACGAGGAGTCAGAGGGAGGTCTGAGAGACGAGGAGTCAGAGGGAGGTCTGTGGGGCGAGGACTCAGAGGGAGGTCTGTGGGGCGAGGAGTCAGAGGGAGGTCTGTGGGGTGAGGAGTCAGAGGGAGGTCTGTGGGACGAGGACTCAGAGGGAGGTCTGTGGGACGAGGAGTCAGAGGGAGGTCTGAGAGACGAGGAGTCAGAGGGAGGTCTGTGGGACGAGGAGTCAGAGGGAGGTCTGTGGGACGAGGAGTCAGAGGGAGGTCTGTGGGACGAGGAGTCAGAGGGAGGTCTGTGGGACGAGGAGTCAGAGGGAGGTCTGAGAGACGAGGAGTCAGAGGGAGGTCTGTGGGACGAGGAGTCAGAGGGAGGTCTGTGGGACGAGGAGTCAGAGGGAGGTCTGTGGGACGAGGAGTCAGAGGGAGGTCTGAGAGACGAGGAGTCAGAGGGAGGTCTGAGAGACGAGGAGTCAGAGGGAGGTCTGTGGGGTGAGGAGTCAGAGGGAGGTCTGAGAGACGAGGAGTCAGAGGGAGGTCTGTGGGACGAGGACTCAGAGGGAGGTCTGTGGGACGAGGAGTCAGAGGGAGGTCTGTGGGACGAGGAGTCAGAGGGAGGTCTGTGGGACGAGGACTCAGAGGGAGGTCTGTGGGACGAGGACTCAGAGGGAGGTCTGTGGGGCGAGGAGTCAGAAGGAGGTCTGTGGGACGAGGACTCAGAGGGAGGTCTGTGGGGCGAGGAGTCAGAAGGAGGTCTGTGGGACGAGGAGTCAGAGGGAGGTCTGTGGGACGAGGACTCAGAGGGAGGTCTGTGGGACGAGGACTCAGAGGGAGGTCTGTGGGGCGAGGAGTCAGAAGGAGGTCTGTGGGACGAGGAGTCAGAGGGAGGTCTGTGGGATGAGGAGTCAGAGGGAGGTCTGTGGGACGAGGAGTCAGAGGGAGGTCTGTGGGGCGAGGAGTCAGAGGGAGGTCTGTGGGACGAGGAGTCAGAGGGAGGTCTGTGGGACGAGGAGTCAGAGGGAGGTCTAAGAGACGAGGAGTCAGAGGGAGGTCTGTGGGACGAGGACTCAGAGGGAGGTCTGTGGGGCGAGGAGTCAGAGGGAGGTCTGTGGGACGAGGAGTCAGAGGGAGGTCTGTGGGACGAGGAGTCAGAGGGAGGTCTGTGGGGCGAGGAGTCAGAGGGAGGTCTGTGGGGCGAGGAGTCAGAGGGAGGTCTGTGGGGCGAGGAGTCAGAGGGAGGTCTGTGGGGCGAGGAGTCAGAGGGAGGTCTGAGAGATGAGGAGTCAGAGGGAGGTCTGTGGGACGAGGAGTCAGAGGAAGGTCTGAGAGATGAGGAGTCAGAGGGAGGTCTGAGAGACGAGGAGTCAGAGGGAGGTCTGTGGGGCGAGGAGTCAGAGGGAGGTCTGTGGGGCGAGGAGTCAGAGGGAGGTCTGTGGGGCGAGGAGTCAGAGGAAGGTCTGAGAGATGAGGAGTCAGAGGGAGGTCTGTGGGACGAGGAGTCAGAGGAAGGTCTGAGAGATGAGGAGTCAGAGGGAGGTCTGAGAGACGAGGAGTCAGAGGGAGGTCTGAGAGACGAGGAGTCAGAGGAAGGTCTGTGGGACGAGGAGTCAGAGGGAGGTCTGTGGGACGAGGAGTCAGAGGGAGGTCTGTGGGACGAGGAGTCAGAAGGAGGTCTGAGGGAAGAAGGAGGAGTTCTAGAGGAGCGGTCTCCTCTCAGTGACAACAGGTGGGTCTTCAGCGTGTCGATGGAGGGGATGGCACTGAGGAGGACTGGCTGAAGGTCTCTGGGAAATGAGGAGGACTGCTGAGGACCACCAGTGTCTTTGTGTCTCAGCGGCGGAGGAGATGTTCCGCTGTAGGACTTGTTGGGACTGGTCCGTCTGCAGAGAGGAGGGGCATTTGAACCGTCCTTCAGCCGCTCCAGAGGAGGCAGCAGGGGGACGGAGAACTTAAACTCCTGACTGAGATGTGAAGTATGGTTAGACATCGGCCAAATGGGTCCCTTTCGATTCTGGAAGAAGTCGCGGTCCTGGCTGTCCCGAGACGTCCTTGTTTGGACTTCGGCTAAGAACTCAGAGTTCAGGTCCAGGTTCCGCCTGGCTGCTGAGATCTGGTCCAGGTCACTGAGGATGGTCCGGAGCAAGTGTCCATCAGACGGAGACGCTCTGCGTAGCTCCGGAGAATCCCGAATGGTCCTCCTAACAACTGCTGGCTCTTCTCTGGAGGACTTCCTGTTAGCCGTCCCGGTTAGCCTGCTAGCTTGTTTATCAGTGAGTTCCACCGGCGAGTCCTCATCCTCCAGGTTTTCCACGTCCACGTCGCTCTCGTCACTGTTGATGTGGATTTGTCCTGTCGCAGATGGGCCTGCCGCACCTACGTCGGACCTGTCGGACCCTCGGTCCAAAATCTCTGCAGGAAGTTCCCCCAGTTCTGGGTCCAATGCTCCACTCACCCCAGCTGAGGGCACTGGCGGGAGAGGAGGCAGGTCGGAGAAGTCGATGGTCTGCTGGCTGCTGAGAGGGCTGCTGCTGCCACTGTGGGTCTTCTTACCAACGTCCTCATGGCTGCTGTCACTGTCCAGGGTGATGATGACTGGGGGACTGAGACAAGAGACAGAGACATCACGATCAGACACAGCTGATCTAAAACAGTTCAACAGGTCTGACCATAAAATACCTTCTGGGGCATTTACACGTGGGTCATCTACGGTGGTGGAGTGTGTTTTCAGCCCTGGTAAAGTTGCGGAGCGTTTCGAGCTGAATCGACCCAACGCGCCCACCCATGACTGGTTGGCCAGCTGAGGTTACATCACTTCTACCTACTGTTAGAAGCCTCTGACGGGCACAGGTAGAATCAGCCAGTAGTGGCTTTTCGCATGTGCTGTTCAGTGGCGATGTAGATGGTGTGTGATGAACATCTTCTCTGATTGCACCTGATTGAGAAAAGATTTCTAGGCTACAAGTGTCACACTCTAGTCAGCTAATGAATCCAAAACATCTGCACAGGGTTCCTGAGCCTTTAGATGGTCTCTCAGTCTAAGCTGACATAAACGGACTCTTGCACCGTATTCTCTTTTTTACTGTTTCACATGCAGATCAGCTTTACCAACGTTTCTATTAAACAGGATTCGGGATGAACCAGGATCAGACTCACCGTGTTTCTCAATGCCAAGGAACCTTGCCTTTATGTCTTGGCCCCGCCCCGGTTGCCTAGGAGATACATCATCAGGAGCTGCCAAGACGTGGTCCAATGTTCATGTTCTACCGAGGCGTCTGTTCTCCGCTTGTTAGCCGTTTAGCTAGCTGACCAAGGATACACGGGAGGTGTCTTGTAGCCTAGCCTTGGTCAACTAATTTAAAATGTTTTATTTTAGATCCAAAGAAGTTATCTATGGTCGGTTAGTTGCTTAAGTTGCAGCTTCGGTGGCTAGCGGGTAGTAACTCACTTATATATTAAACAGTAAAAGGCTCGTTATATATTGATATTGAAACTAATACGTATAAAATATAACGTTATCTCCGTTGTGGAAGCCGTGGTCACGTGATGCAAGTCTGTTCCATTTAACTGTTTTCTCTGACCAAGGAAGGACCGTGTCCTTGTAAGCAAGGCGCATGGCCTCGCAAGGCTAGGCACCTCGACATTGAGAAACACCGTCAGTCCGGCATCAGGACATACTCGGGTTGGACCGTCTCATTCCTGGACCTGAAGAAGCTTTTTCGTTTGCTTCCTGGAGAGTGCAGACGCTTTTGTTCCTCTCCCGCTCCTCATCTCCTCGAGGCCTTTTGTCCTGTCTGTCTGTCAGAGAGCTTCTCTGGATTTCTACTGAAAACTACATCTTTTATTAAAACTATGGATTTGGCCGGCTGGTCTACGAATGAAGCTGATGTAATTATTTCCACCTTAAGAACGGAGAAGTGGGCGACCTCGTTTTCAGATGGAACACACCTAGTTGGGACACCTTTTGGATTCCTGCAAGGAGTGGAATATCACGTGTCTTTCTCTGCTTTCCGTGGTGGAATTTAGAAAACATATGGATTTTTGGGTTTTGATCATCGGATTTCTGCTGATCGGAGAGGGTGGTAATCTGGTATTTTGGACATTATGGAGCTGTTGGAGGTGATCGGATGCTTTTTCTGGGCTCAGAAGGAGTTTCTGCAGTGCTTTAAACACTCTGACTCAGACCTGGCTGCAGTTCATGTTTTGGCCCATGAAATGAATTGAATCATGGAGAAAGTTACTGAACGGTACGAAGGGAAATGGACTCCATTACCGTAGCTGTTTGGACGATCTTGAGACCAGCACAGACTGAAGATGTCGGAAAAACAGAACTGCGCCTGTTTGGTTGCGGTTTCCGTCCAGCCCATTTTAGATGTAAATGGTAAATGGCCTGTATTTGATATAGCGCCTTCTAGAGTCCTGGAACCCCCCAAGGCGCTTTACAACACAATCAGTCATTCACCCATTCACACACACATTCACACACTGGTGGGGATGAGCTACAATGTAGCCACAGCTGCCCTGGGGCGCACTGACAGAGGCGAGGCTGCCGAGCACTGGCGCCACCGGTCCCTCCGACCATCACCAGAGGGCAACGTGGGTTAAGTGTCTTGCCCAAGGACACAACGACAGCGGCAGACTGACTGGGGCTCGAACCTGCAACCTTCCGATTGGTTTGTTGAAAGCAACACACCAATCTAGTTGTTTCATTAGATTGTGCGTTCCTGATAGAAAACCACATACACACACCCTGTATGATTGGATGGAAACTTGTGACCAAAAGAAGATTAAAGTTGGATAAAAGACTTCACGTATCCGTTTCTCTGACCGGAAACACTGATGACTCATCCATGTTGAAACTCGAACCAGTACCAAGTAACAAGTTAATGAGAGAGACGATTCTACAGAAGGCCTGTCCAAAACAATCCTTATCAGAGTCTGGTGCCAAATTTTCCTTCCCCAATCCTGGCTGGAACCCTTTGGCTCGAGGGTGAGATCACAAAACCTTCAAGGACTCCTTGCACTGTCCATCGAAGCTCCTCAACACCACTGATCAATTGGGATTGTATGAATGCAGCCAAGAACAGGATATCCTGGACAAGAACCTTCTTCAGAGTGGTCAGGACCTCAGACTGGACCAAAGGTTTACCCTCCAACATGACAACGACCATGAGCACTCAGCCAAAGTAACAAAGGAGTGGCTTCACTGCAACTCTGCGACTCTTCTTGAACGGCCCAGCCAGAGCCCCGAATTAAACCCAACTGAGCATCTCTGGAGACCTAAAGATGGCTCCACCAACGTTCAACATCCAACCTGACAGAACTGGACAGGACCACAAATCCAGGTGTAAGAAACTTGTTGCATCGTCACCAAGAAGACTTGTGGCTGTGAGCTCAAAAGGGTCTGAAAACTTCAGAACACGTGAAAATTCGGGTTTTCTTTTTAATAAATCTGCATGAACTCCTAAAGTTCTGTGTTTTTCTGCCAGTATGAGGTGTTGTGTGTAGGAAAGAAAGACAGCTACCTTTTATGTAGCGCGCCTCAAGATAAAAATCACGAGGCGCTTCTTCAAAAACCCAAATAATGTTTAATAAGAAAAAGAAAAAATACAGTTAAAAAAAGTAGATTTAAATTTGTGAGGAAGGGAAAGAGGGAAACGTGTGGATTCCAGGAAAGGTGGAACAGGTAGGGAGAGCAGAACAAGGAGAGGGAGGTGAAGGTCCCACCAAAGCCTGAACAGGTGCGTTTAAAGGAGACCACTGAGTCCACTGATCTCAGGCTCAGGGGGAGAGAGGTCCAGAGTCTGGGGACCACAGCAGCAGATGATCTGTCACCTTTGACCTTTAGCCTGGTGCTGCACAACCAGTAGGCTTTGGTCACTGGACCTCAGGGACCTGCTGGAGGTGTAGGGACTAAGAAGATCACCAATGTAAGATGGTGCTTGTCCATGTAAGGCCCTATAGACCAGAACCAGGATCTAGAAATGAACCCTGAAGTTGACTGGCAGCCAGTGAAGCTGGAGGAGAAGCGGGGTGATGTGGGTGTGTTTGGAGGACTTGGTCAGAAGCCGAGCACAGGCGTTCTGAACCACCTGCAGACGGTTCAGGGAGGCTCTGCTCATTAATGAGGAACACATGTATTTAACTGATTTTAGTCAATTGGTGCAATTTAATAACAAGTGAAACATTGAAGAGGGTCTGAATACTTTCTGTACCAGTGATGGGAATTACGGCTCTTTTTAGAGAGCCGGCTCTCTCGGCTCCTCAAGACCGCTCCCAGTGACGAGCCTGCTCTTACCGCTCTGTACCCACTCCACTCTACTCTCTAGTGTCACGTGCTTATTACTTCTACTTGGTTAGCTACTCAGTGTTACCATAAACTTTGTGGTACTTTACACAAACTTAGTGTCCCATGTGTTCTTGTTTATTACAGACGCCATTCCCACTGCGGTGAGACTGCAACGCCACAGTCTTCCACTTATTTACCGAGACTCGCCAACCTCAAAGCAACATCCAGTATGTGTACTTGTGCAGCACCGGAGGTACGTTAGTACCTGAAGATTTTTGTTGTTCTAACTGCTGAAGGCTACAACGCCAGCTCACTGCCCGTGTGTACTTGTACTCTTGTTGCTCTACTTCCTGCTCTGCTGTAACGAGTGAATTCCTCACTGTGGGAATAACAACATATTCCACTTCTTCTGCTTCTCTAGTTCGTCATTTCTTGCTAGCCTTACTTTCTTGGTGTTAGTTCTGCTGCTTTAGCTTTGGCCACCTTACCCTGCTGGTTTACTCCATCAGCCGCTAACCCAGACCAAGTAAATCCTGTCAGTTATCGCTGTGTGATGTCATCATGTACGATGTTGCTCCTCTCCACCGCCAGGATTAAAGCCATGGAAAACACACTGCGGTGCTTCTGGAGCGACGCTGGGAGTGAGTAAGCCGCTAAGTCACGCATAAGCTACATATTTATAAAACAGCATCGCTGCAGGACTTTTATTTTGAAAATTACGGGGGTTTTACACTGAAACCGTGCGTGGTTTCCTGTCTAGCCCCGTGTCAACTGTGGAAATTGACGTGTTCCAGAAGCGGCTCGCAGCAAATCTAGAACCCGATGCTATCGCTAGCTTCTGGGACGCGTCTGAAAAGGCCGGCGGCGTCGCGCCTGGTTTGTGACACTCCCGCGCCGCTGCTGCTTCCTGCGTGCCGTAGGCTTTAGCCTTCTTACCTTAAAGTCCGTGTGACTCGTTACAAACGTGCCATAGTTCTCTAGTGACTAGTGGGTTAGGGTCAGTAACTCAGCTGAAGCGTCCGACAGAAGAGCAGGCGCGTCTCTGCTCGTCGCCCCCTGCTGGCGACTTTTAGAACTGATGAGTGACCGAGCCCACACAGGAAGTCCGTTTGTGACCCGGACCAGAACCGGCCCCTTTACCTGCTGTGACGAGTCCTGCGATGGCGTTTGCGATGGCGCCGGTGGGCAGGAGACCTGCTGGTTCTGGAGGCGATGGTGCCCTCGTAGATGATCTCCACACTGGGACTCCGGTCTTCTCTGGACCTCCTCCTGCTGTGGGGGTGGGGACATGTAAGACCGGGGGGGTCAACTTAAGAGATTTGGCTCCAACCAGCTGAGGAACGTCACGGGTACGGAAAGCTGCTGTATCATATATTTAAACATCTTCCTCTGATCCTCTAGAGGCTGGAGGACCACACCTGAGACGTCCTAAAGACGTGATCACTGATACAAGCCAGTCAGCCCTGGCTCACACCCCCAGAGGTCACAGGTCATACAGTTTTGTGTACAACAGCTTATTTTATGTGAGGCTTTTATTTTGTTAAGTCTAACAGGAAGTGCTGTTCTCACCTCTGCTCTCCAAGGCCACTGCTCTCCTGGAGGACCTTCCTGGGTTTCTCCGTCCTCCTCCTCCTCCTCCGGTCCCTGCGGCCCCCGTTGGGCCTCCAGGACGGGTCCTTGGTGCTGCTGTCCAGGTGCCGGCTCTTGTACTTCCTCTTCCCGCCGGGCTTGTCTGCGTGGTGGGGGCGCTCGCTGGGGGAGCGGGTGGGTGTGGGTGGAATCCGTGGGGGCGACAGGCAGAAGGGGGAGGAGTTGGAGGAGATGGATGGGGAGGAGATGGGGGACGTGAGGGGGGAGATCTGATGGAAGTCGGAGCTGGAGTCCAGCGGGCTGGGAGGCAGCGGCGAGCAGGAATTGGCGCTGGAGTCGTACGGCGAGGGGGAGCGGCGCATCATGGGGGGGTAAATGGAGCGGTTGGGGTTGGCTAGCGTACCGCTCCTCCGAGGCTCCTCCGAGCTCCTGTCCCTTCCTCTCCTCCTCCTCCTCCTCTGTCCATCCTCGGTGCTCTGCTGCCCAGGCACCACGGAGCACACCGACTTCCTGCTTCCCACAGAGCTTCCTGACCACGACCGGGAACGCCGCCTCCTCGTCTCGCTCTGCCTCGCCTCCTCCACTCTGTGGGCACCAGATGTAGAAGGAGGGACTACTGGTTGGTAAGATGAAGAAGGAGCAGGGGAGAGGGGAGGAGCCTTCTCAGCAGTTACCTCCTCCTTCCCTCCCTCCTCCTCTTCGGAGTCGGAGGAGAGCTGAACCAGCTCAGGAGTCCGCTCGGCCATCGGCTTCTTGTATCCGACAATCAGGCACTCCTCCTCCCATTCTCCGTCTTCTCCTCCTGCACTGGCTGCCTCTGGGGGGGCGGGGCTTGATGATGGAGGTGGAGCAAGAGAACTCGACGGTTCTGCGATGGAGTAGGACGGTCCTGGCGTTTCGTCATCCCAGACCGACAGGCTGAGGGAGCTTCCCGTCTGGTTGAAGTCAGTGGGAGTGCTCCTCCCTACCACCTCTGGTCTTTCTCCCCTCACCTCCTCCTCCTCCTCCTCCGAGATGGCAATGACGGAGCTGCCGTCGGAGGAGCTGCTCAGCTCGCCCAGCTCTGTGGTGGTGGGCGGAGGCTCGTACACCGCCTGCAGGTCGTAAGCGTCCATGCTGAGCGGCGAGCGGGCGAAGCTCGCCAGCTCGTGCAGGAAGTGCTCGGTGCGCGCCAGCAGGAACGGCCGCAGGTCCTCCTCCAGGGCGGGGGGGCTCTCTAGGCCGTGGCGTGCCAGCCGCGCCACGATGATCCTCTGGACGATGTCCACCAAGGAGCCGTGGGAGCCGTACAGCACCTTCAGCTCTCGCTGCAGCCAGGGGCGGAGTCTGTTCAGGTGGGCGGGGTTCTGACGAAAGTTCTCCGCTGTGATGTCACACTGCGGCCCATGGTTACCGTTGGCTCCGGCGACACCACGGACCCGGATGCCGCATCGATACAACATGCGGCGGAAGGCCAGGGCCTCCCTCTCCCTCAGCTGACGGATGGCTCCGCCCTCTCGTTGCAGCCGCTGCCTCGCCACCAGCCGGCTAATCAGGCGCCGCGAGGCCCGGTCGCTGGGATCCAGAGGCGCGGCCGTACCTTGGAAACCGGTCAGCTGGTTAAATATAATCCCGCCCTCTGCAGAGTCAGCTCCGCCCCCCCTCCCCTCGCCGTCTCCTGCAACAGCATCCGACACAGAGAGATGGTGAGAGAGAGGAGGAGAGAAAGAAAGAGGAGGATGATCCAGGTAGAACTCCCACAACCCCGCCCGCTCCTCCACTCCTCCTCCTCTCGCTCCCCTCTGCCTCCTGCGCCTCCTCGTGGTCGTCCCACCCCCGTCGGCCGCACGATGGCGCCTCAGCATCAGTCTCATGTGGTGATCGCTCCTCGCGGCCGACGCCATCGCTGCCACCATGGCTACGGTGGCGGCCACGCTGCTGTTGGTGGGCGGCGGCTGCAGCGTGTACTCCTTGAAGTCGTCCTCGGCGCGGACCGAGTGCAGGATGGAGGCGAAGGGCTGCTTGCAGAGCGGACACTCGGCCTTGTTGTGGGACCACTCCTGGATGCAGGGGAAGCAGAAGCGGTGCAGGCAGTGGTCCAGGTATGCCAGGTTGTTGAAGCGATCCAGGCAGATGGGGCACTTGGAGTCGGGAGACGTCTCCTCGGCGGCTAGCACGGCTCGAGCGGAGCCCGACGAGGTGCCCGGAGGCGAGGAGGAGGCAGCAGCGGTGGATAACGACGATGCTTTGTTGCTGGTTTTCCTCCTGCTGCTGGTCCTGGTGCTCTCTCTGCTCCTCTCAGGGTTTACGTCTGAGGGGCCGTCACCTGCTGAAGCCTCTGCTGCTGCGTTGTCACGGCGACGCACGCGCAGCTTCATCCTCAGAGGAGCGGTCACCTGCGCAAAAATAACAACAAACATCAACATCATAGCCAAAGCAGCACAGGTGATCCTCCAAAACGTGTGAAACGTCATCGTTTGACTTTAGATGAGAACCGAGCCTTCTGGTGCCTGGCCCCAGGTGACCCCAAACGTCATCACTCGGCTACAGAGCAACAACAGGAAGAAGGTTCCAGACTTGCAGCCTGAGCTCTAGAAACCAAAACGATCATGAACTACTAAACTTTACCCTAAGGTTCTCCGTTTCCTCCTGCTAAGTCTGACCCGGAACTGTTTGTTTCATCCCGCCCTGGAGGTTTCTGGGGTTTAGCTAGCTTAAACACCGATCAGAGCTAGCATTAAGCTAGCTGCTACCAGCAGACACGCTCACCCTGACCCAGACATGTCCGCCCTCAGACACCAGCCACCCGCGGTTAGCTTACACACGAGTCTGCCTTTAAATCAACAACTTTCTGCCTCTATGATTACACGTTAGCATGCTAACACCGTTAGCTTCCCGCACCTCCGCTGAACAATCACCGGGTCGCTCCTCCGCCGCGTTCTTCCTCTTCCTCCGGGACGAGCTCCGCACCGGGAGAGGCATCTTCCGTTGCTGCCGACCCGGTTCTCCCCGGTCCGACACTCTGATCCGTTTAGAACCGGGATACCGATAGAAGGAAACACATTAAAGTCTACCGTTGTCCGAACCGAAGCGCTCACTCAGCTGGAGTGAGTACAACCACGGGCCGCGGTGCATGACGGGAAAGACAGCCGCTGCAGAGAGATCGTCTGTGAGCGGAGGGCTCACTCAACCAAATATTACACTGGCTACGGGTTCAATAAAACAAAATAAAATAAAATAAAATAGAGATTTACAGCTGATAATGCATTTATTCCTTTATATGGTTCACAAGTGGCCTGTTGGTCCTTCCAAGTGGCTCCAGCGTGTGTTAAACTAGATATAAAACTCAGGTTTTCAGGTTCGTCTTGTAATGACTGCATTCAGTGTCCACAGGATGATGACACTAAAGGTAAATGTAATATTTATTAATCTAGTTACATCTTCTTTAAATTATTTCCCACAATTATCTACACGTCATTAAAAAATCCAAACTGTTTGCAGTTGATTTCCAACATTTTGCAAATCTCTTAAAGTATAAAGTAATCAGGAATCTTGGCGTGACCTTTGACCCGGCTCTCACCCTGGATTCTCATGTCAGTTCTCTTGTTGGCTCTTCCTTCTTCCATCTCAGGAACGTTGCTAAGCTGAGTCCCATTCTGTCCCGCTCTGAACTTGAGACAGTTCTCCACACCTTCATCTCCTCACGCTTAGACTACTGTAACTCTCTTTTCACGTGTCTGAGCAGAACCTCCCTGAACCGTCTACAGGTGGTTCAGAACGCCTGTGCTCGGCTTCTGACCAAGTCCTCCAAACACACCCACATCACCCCGCTTCTCCTCCAGCTTCAGTGGCTGCCAGTCAACTCCAGGGTTCATTTCAAGATCCTGGTTCTGGTCTATAGGGCCTTACATGGACAAGCACCATCTTACCTTGGTGATCTTCTCAGTCCCTACACCTCCAGCAGGTCCCTGAGGTCCAGTGATCAAAGCCGACTGGTTGTGCAGCACAAGGCTAAAGGTCAAAGGTGACAGATCATCTGCTGCTGTGGCCCCCAGACTCTGGACCTCTCTCCCCCTGAGCCTGAGGTCAGTGGACTCAGTGGTCTCCTTTAAACTCACCTGTTCAGGCTTTGGTGGGACTTTCACCTCCCTCTCCTTGTTCTGCTCTTATTACACCTTTCCCGGGATCCACTGATTTCCTTTTTCCTGTTAATTTTCTCTCTCCCCTACCATCAGTTTTTAATCACTATTTTTCATTTTTATAATTATTCTTTTTTCTTCTTCTTGTAATTTTAATACTAGTTTTTACTTTTTTAAAAATTTTGAACTTTTTGTTCTTATGAAGCGCCTCGTGATTTTTATCTGGAGAGGCGATATAGAAATGATCCTTCCTTCCTTCCTTCCTTCCTTCCTTCCTTCCTCCCTCCCACCCTCCCTCCCTCCCTCCCTTCCTTCCTTCCTTCCTTCCTTCCTTCCTTCCTGCCTGCCTGCCTGCCTTCCTCCCTCCCTCCCTCCCTTCCTTCCTTCCTTCCTTCCTTCCTTCCTCCCTCCCTCCCTCCCTCCCTTCCTTCCTTCCTTCCTTCCTTCCTTCCTGCCTGCCTGCCTGCCTGCCTGCCTGCCTGCCTGTCTTCCTTCCTCCCTCCCTCCCTCCCTCCCTCCCTTCCTTCCTTCCTTCCTTCCTGCCTGCCTGCCTGCCTGCCTGCCTCCCTCCCTCCCTCCCTCCCTCCCTTCCTTCCTTCCTTCCTTCCTTCCTTCCTCCCTCCCTCCCTCCCTCCCTTCCTTCCTTCCTTCCTTCCTTCCTTCCTGCCTGCCTGCCTGCCTGCCTGCCTGTCTTCCTTCCTTCCTGGAAGTTAAATAGAGTCTGTAGTGACCATTTGTCCAAAAAACTTAAACAAAATATAATCAAATACTTTCAATTGACCACCGGGCTACGTCATGGGTTCGGCTTTACGCCGGGGTAAAACGTTTCAAATAAAGCAATGTCCATGTCGAACTTGTGTTTGGTGGTGGTTTATTCACTCACGCAGCAAGAGCACAGATTCTGTCTTCTCTATCAGTGTGTGTGTGTGTGTGGGGGGGGGGGGGGGGGGGGGGGGGAAACATGCTCCCTCGCAGCCCTGGCTGCTCCACCCACCTTGACCTATTTATACAATAATCGCCCACACCTGACCAATAAATAATAAACTAATTATAATAAATAAAAAGCATAATGCAAAACAAACAAATAAAATAGCATAAATAAATAAAATAAACGAGGCTACGACTTAAGCCTTTCATAAACTAAACAGCTTCAACAGAGTGCCTTACAGAGATAAGGAGCGGTACAACACATGTAGGTACTCATACAGAAGTAACATGTTACACGTGTGCAGAAGAGGGGACAGGCTTCTGAGAAAAAGGTAACTTTCTTTTTCATCCGCCCCAATCCAGGGCAGCAGCAGCTCTACAGGTAGAGCGGGTTGTCCAGTAACCGGAAGGTTGCAGGTTCGATCCCGGCTCCGGGCAGAGAATTCTGCTGTTGTGTCCTTGGGCAAGACACTCAACCCACCTTGCCTGCTGGTGGTGGTCGGAGGCTCCGGTGGCGCCTGTGTATGTCAGGCCTCGCCTCTATCAGCATGCCCAGGGCAGCTGTGGCTACATCGTAGCTCATCACCACCAGTGTGTGAATGTGTGTGTGAATGGGTGAATGATACACGTAGTGTAAAGCGCTTTGGAGTCCTTACTATACCAGTGCGGGTCATTTATCATCATTATCATCTAACCCTCCTCTGTAGTTGTTAAAACAGCAGGTCAGCAAATCCTGAATTATCTAAACTACTCTGGTTGCTATAGTAACCGCTGCTGGTTTGACATAGCGTAACATCTGGAATGAAGACATCTGGCAGGCTGGAGTTGATGCCTCCACCTGCAGTTCCTCTGGGTGACGTCAGAGGGCGCCGCTGAGCTGTAACCGGAAGTACAGGCTGCGGGAGAGCGGATGTAAACAAACCGAAGCGGAGCGGCTTTGGGCTCGTCCGGTTGAGTTGAGGCGCTCAGGAGGAGATGGAAACGGCCAGCAGACGAACTCTGGACCGGATGTGTGCTCTGGTAAAACTTCATCACCTGTAATCGTCTGTTTAACGGCAGGTAGCTGCTAGTTAGGCTAGCGTTAGCCTCAGAGGGATGGCAGAGGAAACATGGCGGATGGATTTAATGTCCTTCATGACCGTTAACAGCTGATTAGTCTGGAGCTCCGCCGGGGTTCGAAGTCGGTTCTGGTACCAAATGTTTGTGTAGTTTAAAATCAGACCGATCCGAGCCGGAACCTCAGCTGGTCCTCTGGTTTCTGCTGTTAGAGGCCCGGTTCGCTTCTCCTCAGGTTCAGTTGACCGGTTCAACTGGTTCTGGTCTCTAGACCCAAACCTGGCCCATCCCTTGAGTTAGGAAGGTTTTAGGGTTCTGGTGCTGGAACCAGACATGACGGAAACATCAGCCAAAGTCTGAAGAGGAACCGGGTCAGACCAGGTTCTCCGGTTCTGATCCGAATAAATAAAAGTTTCTCCTCCTGCAGGTCTTGGCGGCCGTGGTGGTCTTGTCCTGGTCCTATGTCATCTACGCCAGCAGGACAGCAGCTGATTGGCTGTTGGAGGGAAGGACTGCCCTCCTGCAGGGCTCCTGACACTACCTGGTACACCTGGGTCAGAACCATGCCTCCTGCTGAAGAGGGTCCAGTCTAAAGGGACTCCTGGTTCAGAGCAGGTCCAGACCCATAGCTGTCTCATGGTCCTGCTGCTGCAGCCCAGAAGGATCGCAGGTGGCTGAAGATCCAGACCGTACCTAGAGGTTCTGATCAGACTGACGTGCTAACGGCTAGGGTGTGTAGGGTCGTCTGACATCAGATCATGACCAGATTATAGTTTCCTGCTGAGCTGAGGTGGAAGTCCAGCAGGACTTGGACTATAACGGAACAGTCCAGCAATCCTGATGATAGAACATCTGACAACGCTGTGAGAGCAGCTGCTGCTGCAGCTTCATGATGTTGTTTATCAATAAATAAACACGAACTGTACAATGTGTCTGTGAAGGTTCTCAGTCATCCAGGTCATTGTAGTCTAAGGAGCTTTGAAAGAAAAGCGTCTGGACTTCTTTGAGCTTCACCTCTCATCCGAGAGGCTTCTTCAGTTGACCTAAGAACTTAGAAAGAAGCCTCTCGGATGAGAGGTGAAGCTCAAAGAAGTCCAGACGCTTTTCTTTCAAAGCTCCTTAAACTGTACAACGTAAACATCTGTAACACCAACACCCACCAGCAGGTGGAGCTAGATGTCCTGCAAATGGGTGAGAAGCTCCAGAAAGTCCAGATTTATTCATCATCCTCATCACGTGTGTGTGTGTGTGTGTGTGTGTGTGTGTGTGTGTGTGTGTGTGTGTGTGTGTGTGTGTGTGTGTGTGATCAGGTGCAGAGGAGCTGTCTTTGATGATCTCCTCTCATGTGTAAATGTCCCCAAATGAATGGGTGAGTGAGAAAGGACGAGCGAGGCAGAAAGAGAATGAGGATGGAGAGAGAGAGGGGTTGAACACTCATTCTATTAACACACACACACACACACACACACACACACACACAGCTGTGATCTGTAATTAAAACTGTTCAGATGAAACATGAATCTTTAACCACAGAATAAAACATCTGGACTTTCCTGTTTTTAACCGTGAAATAAACGCTTCTCAGGAACAAACAGGAAGTGAATGTTCTGATCTGACCCACGATCGGAGGACGGATGAATGTTTAGAACAAAACCTACAGAAAAGCTTGAAAACAGGACTTACTGATCACCACCAGAGGAGTTAATGTTTATTCTAATCTGGTAGATTACATGGGTCATGTTTGGATTCTAATAAAAGAGAAAACACTGATCGATGGGATTTTATATCTACACGACTTTTTCTGCTCATCTGAACTAAAACGACCTGAAACAAACAAACCCCATCATGTTCAATATCACAGTTATGTCTGATAGACAAGCTGCTCTCTGCAGCTGCTCTCCTCTTTATCCTGGTCATGCTGATGAGCACGGCCCTCCACACACACGCACGCACGCACACACACACACAACCTCAGCACTGATGCAGGTCCCACTGGAACCAGAACACAAGCTCTGTTAGAGCCTGAGCTCAGAAGAAACATGCTTGATTAATAAAACGTGTAAAAACAGCAAAGAGAGCTCAGAGAAACAGAAACGTTAATGCTGTCAACAGTTTCCCATCAGTGTTGCCATGGAAACCCCCAACAAACGGCTGCCGGGTGACACCTACAACATGTTCAGCTCTAATGGTCCCACACTTCCTTCTGGGTCTACCCGAGCTGTACAGCTCCAGAGGGGGCGGAGCTACCCCCCCCCCCCCCCCTTGCTGGTCCGAACCCTCAAACCGACCGGCGGAGACTTTGGTGGTCTTTGGGCACAAATGATTTTCAGTTTCTGATGAACCAGAACAAGACGTTTGGAGCTGACCTAGTTTGAGTGAAACAACAGTCACAGGTGCGTTCTCACAGATAAGCTTTATTTCTCTAAGGTTCCTCGCAGCACAGGAACTCAAACACCAGTGTAGCCATTAAACCAGCCAGCAGACCAGTTCTGGGTAACTGCTAAGACGTCTAAAGTTAAACATGAACAAACTTCAGAGGAGTACTGGATCAGGCTGCTTCCTCGTTCACAAACCCCGGCACAGACGAGTACGGCTCCGCCTCCGTCTCCATGGTAACCTGTTTGGTGGTCCTGGTGTCGGCGTCCCTGGAGACCGTCTGTGTCTTCTTCCCCTCCAGCCAGTACGTCACCATGTCTCCTTTCCCCTGTGGAGACAGGACAAGATCAGGGTGGTACTGGACAGAACCCGGAACTCTCAGTGGACAGGAGGTCCCTGTGGTGGGAGCAGGAGGCGCACCTTGACCTGCAGGGTTCCTCTACACTCCAGGACGTAGCCGCCGATCTCCTCCAGCAGGTAGAAGGTGCTGGGGCTGCACTGGATCTTCAGGGCTGGAAAACAGAAGGAGGTTTGTGAAGGAGGACATTTCTAGAGCTCCTGGATCAGAACCAACGCCACTACTGGTCTCTACCCAGGCTGGTGGACTCCATTCTGGACGCCGTGTTGACCGTGTCTCCAAACAGACAGTACCGAGGCATCTTGGTCCCCACAACTCCGGCTACAACCGGACCTTCAGGGAAGAGGGGAGAGACGGTGAGGCGGAGACCCAACAGAACCTTTCAGCCCCCCAGCAGACGGGTGTGTACCGGAGTGGATCCCAGCTCGGATCTGCAGCTGCATGTTGGGTTTGTGAGGGATCCTGAAGGAGCGGCACACCTCCACCAGGTCCAGGGCCATGCTGGCGATCTCCGAGGCGTGGAGGATCCCGTTCACCCGCGGAACTCCAGAAACCACCATGTCTGCAGAACCAGGAGGACACTCAGGAGGGATGGAACCCTACGGAACATTGTGTGTGTGTGTGTGTCTCACAGGCATCTCCTATGGTCTCCACCTTGTACACGTCATGGTTGTCGATGATGTCATCAAACGTTGTGTAGAGTTTGTTGAGGAAGTCGACAACCTGATAAGGAGTGCTGCTGCTGGACAACTGAGTGAAGCCCACTATGTCACTGCACAACACACACACACACACACACACACACACACACACACACACACACAGAGTAAATCAAGGGACGGCGCACTAATATTTGCGGTTCAATGATTAAATAAATTATCTGATGGGAAAACGTCCCAGAGGTCCTAGACAAGTTCCAGGTTCGAATCGGATTCCAACGTTCAGTTTGTGTACCTGAAGAAGACGGTGGCGCTGACGTAGCTCTGAGCCTGGGCTGGTTTGGCTTGACGGAGGTCATCAGCTATCTGTCTAGGAAGCATGCCTGCAGCAAGACGTGGAAACATCTTAGTTTGCTCTCTTTCAGCAGGTTGATGCTAACGCTAATGCTAACAGTACCTTTTGATAGCCCTTTTTAAGCAATTTGATGCTAATGCTAACAGTACTCTTTGATAGCCCTTTTAAGCAAGTTGATGCTAATGCTAACAGTAATCCCATTTTCAGCAGGTTGATGGTAATGTTAATGCTAACAGTGTTCTTTGGCTACGCTCGTACTGCAGACAAAAGTGCATCAAATCCACTTTTTCCCCCACATGCGACCCATATCTGATTTATTATGACAGTCTGAAAGCACAGATCCAATTTTTTCAAATGCGATCCGTGCCTCTTGAATATGTGGTACTGATTCCGACACATATCTGATGTTTTTGAAAGCGTCTGCAGTCTGAACGGTCATGTCGCATTAAATCCGTCTCTTACGTCCAAATCGGAATTGAACATAGCCTTTGATAGCCCTTTTAAGCAAGTTGATGCTAATGCTAGCAGTGCTCCCTGGCATCCATTTTTCAGATGGCTGATGCTAATGCTAACAGTGCTTGCTGATGGCTTTTCTGGGCAGGCTGACGCTACTGCTAATTTCCTTTTTTAGTGACACTTTTGTTTCTCCTACTGTAAAGCAGCCTGTCCGTTTTCTGTTTCTCGAGCATCAGATCTTGAGTCCTCTCAGCCACGAGGACCTCCAGATGTTTACTGTACTTCTCCATCTGAACATGAAGAAAAGACAAATAAAGAGAAACCCTTTGAGTTCAGGGAAATTGAACACTGATTTTCTGGTTGTGTTTCATCACCAGGTTCATCATCATGTCCACTGGGCTGCCTTTGATGGGGTTAATGCGGTGAACAAACTTCTTGACTTGTTCAAAGGTTGGTCGATGAGCGGGGTTGTGAGAGCGACATCGACGAATTAGCTAAAAAACAGGTGCAAATATGAGCAGAAATGTGGAAAACGTGAAGAACCATGAATTGAACAGTACCAGTACGCTAGCTGAAAATGAAATGGACCAGTTCTGCTCTCCAAAGATCAGACCTCTGCGTAGTCAGCAGGACATGGGCAGGTGTTGTCTGCTTTACTGGAGATCAGCTCTGGTAGTGGAGGACACCATGCACACTCCAAGTTTGACTCCTCTGCCTGGTACGTTAAAGTTGTTTATTGTTTGCTGAAGGAAATTTACTCGGCTATAGTGAGCTCTACCTGGAACTTACTGGGACAGGATCGTTGCGAGTCGCTATCTCCAGAAGAATAATGGAGTAACTGAGAGAACATGAAAGAGAGGTTATACCAGCTGAACTAAGAAAAATCTCATTCCAATCTGCAACTTTTTTGTTTGGTTTAAACCAGGACTAGTCAACCCTGGTACTAGGGCCCACCTTCATGTTTTCTATGTTGCCTGCACCTACACACCTAGTCTGAACATGTTATCAGCAGGATTAGAGCACCAGCAGATCCCAACTCTTACACCAGCTGTGTCAGATGTAATAACTGAAGTTGAAAGAACTCGAGAACTTACTGAAGACAGGTAATTACTGACATGTAGGACAGAGGACCTCCAGGACCAGGATTCACCAGTCCTGGTTTAGACTAAAGTTTAGAGTCTGTTGTAAGAAGTTAATTGTAGCACCAGAACACGTCTCCGGGAAGTGTGGGCTCCATGTTGGAGCTCTGAAACTCAGGCGGCATGTACACCTCGAGTAGTCTCTGCTGATAGGAGGAGAGAGGCTCCGCCCCATCGTCTCTGCGGAATGTCCTCAACCCATAATCTGAGAGGAGAAACCAAACATTGATAAAACACTGTTAACTTTGTTTAACACACAATTCAAAGATTGGGATCCTGGACAAGACCCCATCTACTGGTTCTACAGCAAATGCATGAATCACCTGTTATTTTGCAGACCCAACGATCGTCCAACACACAGTTCAGAGACTTCAGTCTGCCATGGCAGATCTTGTGATGATGCAGGTATGACATCCCTCTGGCGATGTCCATAGCAAAGGAAAATCTGACAGACAGGATAAAAGAAACTAGTCCATCCCTCTAACAAACACTTCTAAAAAACCCAAGAGGAGTTTATGGGTTTACCTAAAGCCCCAGTTGAGAGGAATCTCTTCGTTAAGGAGGACATCATTGAGGCTTCCCTTTGGGCAGTACTCTGTTACTATGGCAATATTAGGCACCTCAATGCAGCCACCGATAAACTTGCACAGATTTGGATGATCAAACTCTCTGAATACACCCGTAAAGACAAAATCAGAGGTACAGATTTGTGACCGAATGGTTTTCTGCGTGTGTTAATCACCTGACTTGTTTGACTTCCTGTCTGATGCTTTTAGAAAGAGAGAAAGTCTTGGTCTGGATCTTTTTGATGGCCACTGTCCGTCCGTCACTGCAGATGAAGAATGTTTCCTGATCACATGAAACCTGACAGCGTTTGGTTTGGATGGACAGATTTCATAAAGACGGACATACTAGATCCCCGTGGAGGTAAAAGGGCCCTTCCGGGATCCTGGTTGACCTATACAGGAGCCGAGTGCAGTCAGACAGCTGGTGTTGCTGTCGCTGTGTCCAGCTGGTACACTCATGATACTGCCCATGGTCATACGGGCCTCCTGGTCTGCAGATACAAGAGCAAATTCACTAAAAACATCATGAAACAAGAATTAATAACTACAGAACACTGATTAATAGTTCTTAATTTTAACTTGAACAAATGCCAAGTTTGACATTAACCGTTCTACCTGTAGTTAGTTAAGATGATGCAGTTATAGAAATATTTCAGAAGGTTTTAGACGTTAAGAGCCAAAGATCAAACAGCATCGGTCTTCTCTGATTGTTGCTGGATCAACTAACGGGTCCTTTACAGAGCTTTGTCAAGGTGAGGTATAACGGTCCTGTGGTCCTATAGATGGATGGATGAAAAATGATGATGCTGATACTCTTGACCCTTTTTTTCTGAAAATAGCAGCACGTAATATTGCTGCACCTATTACCCATCTATTTAATCTGTCTATACAAACTGGTGCATTTCTGCAGGACTGGAAATTAGCTTCTGTTACTCCGCTGTTTAAAGGGGGATATCATTCAGACCTAAGCTATTATAGACCTATCGCTACCCTGCCTTGCCTCTAAAGTCAGTGAAAAGTTAGCCAACAAACAGCTAACTCACTATCTGGAATCCAGCAATATTTTTACTCCCATGCAGTCCGGCTTCAGAACTGGCCATGGATGTGTCTCTTCAACACCTTAAGTGCTAAATGACATCATATGTGCCATTGAAAATAAGGAATGTTGTGTAGCTGTGTTTGTTGACTTGGCTAAAGCCTTTGACTCTGTAGACCATAATCTTACTTAGCAGGCTCAAACATGTAGGACTATTTCAGACATCCGTGGCATGGTTCAGAAGTAATATCTTAGGCCGTACGCCAGTGAGAACAGAGGGTTACCAATCTGCTCCTCTACCTCCATCTATGTGTGTTCCTCAAGGGTCGACACTGGGCCCAACCTAATTCAGAATCTATATTAATAACATTGTTCATGCGGTTGACAGTTTTCATATACATTTATATGCAGATGACACCATTTTATATTCCTGCAGTTCTTCCTTGAATACAGCTTTGTTCTCCTTGCAGCACAACTTTAATCATCTTTAACATGCCTTCTCCAACCATCTTCTTCGTTTAAACACAAGTAAAACAAAGTTCATGATCTTCAAGCGTAACTTTCCACCCTAGTATTCTTTCCCTGGATGTTACAGAACCACAGCTCATCAGTTCCTATAAGTATCTGGGTATCTGGCTTGACAGCACACTTTCATCTGACATTCTCATTAATTCATTACTTTCTAAAGTCAAGTCTAGAATCGGGTTTCTATAGCAACAGGTCATCCTTTACTCATTCTGCAAAGCAAACCTTGGTCAAAATGACAATCCTTCCAAGATTACGGTGACATCATTTATAGAACTACTTCTAAAAACTTCTTCATAAACTCTATGTCTTTTATCACTCAGCAGCCCGTTTGGTTACTGGTGCCCCTTTCACTACTCATCATTGTGATCTGTACTCACTCGTTAACTGGCCATCACTCCATTCCTGCAGAATGTTACATCGGTTAGGGTTCGGGTTAGTTTTACCCTAACCTGTCATATCTTCTCTCATTACTCATCACTTCCAACAACCAGCACCATTTATGTTCCAGTAACTTAATCTCTATGGTTACTGACTCATCTGGTCAAAAAGAGGTTAAATAAAATAAATAAATAAATAAAGTTGTTGGTGCACCTTGTTTAATTGCTGCAAAGTCAATGACCCAGCTTTCGTCCCACAGCAGCTTCTCTTTCTGGTATTTCAGCCACTGCAGACATAGATTTATTGTTTATTTATTAATTTGTTTGATTCTGCTCAAATGATGAGTTGTTTTGTCTGGTCTGATATAGTGTGGTGGGGTATGGTATGGTCTGGTGGGGTCCTGTAAAGTTTGGTGAGGTTTGGAATAGTCTGGTGGGGCCTGACATGGCTTGGTATAGCCTGCTATAGTCTGATGGGGTCTGGTATGGTCTGATGGAGTCCTGTAAAGTCTGGTGTGGTCTGGTATAGTGTAGTGGGGTCTGGTATAGTCTGGTAGTGTCTAGTGGGGTCCAGTATAGTCTGGTGTTGTCTGGCATAGTCTGGTGAGGCCTGAGGTCTTGTATAGTCTGGGATGGTCTGGTAAAGCCTGGTGTGGTCTGGTTTGGTCTGGTAAAGCCTGGTTTGGTCTGGTATTATCTGGTGTGGTCTGGTATAGTTTGGTATGGTCTGGTAAAGCCTGGTGTGGTTTGGTATTATCTGGTGTGGTCTGGTTTGGTCTGGTAAAGCCTGGTTTGGTCTGGTATTATCTGGTGTGGTCTGGTATAGTTTGGTATGGTCTGGTAAAGCCTGGTGTGGTTTGGTATTATCTGGTGTGGTCTGGTATGGTCGGATAAAGCCTGGTGTGGCCTGGTATTATCTGGTAAAGTCTGGTATGGTCTGGTGTGGTCTTGTATAGTCTGGTATGGTCTGGTAAAACCTGGCGTGGTCTGGTATTATCTGGTATAGTCTGTTGTTGTCTTGTATAGTCAGTGTAACATCTGGTATGGTCTGGTAAAGCCTGGTGTGGTCTGGTATAATTTGGCATGGTCTGGTAAAGCCTGGCGTGGTCTGGTATTATCTGGTATAGTCTGGTATGATCTAGTATACTTTGGTGGTGTCTGGTATGGCCTGCTATTGTCTGATGTGGTCTGGTCTCGCTTACCACAAAAGTCAGAATGCAGAACAGGCAGAGCAGGCTGAGTGGCAGGCTGATGGCCACTTTAGTAGTTGGACCCATGGGACATTCACCACAATCAGCTGGACATGTGGAACAGAACTCCCCGTCCTCACAGATGTTATCTCCACAAACTTGAACAGAAATGGTGAAAACAGCTTAAGGTCAAGTTGTCAGCAGTGGATCAAATAAAGAAAGGACTGACGGATTTGTGAAATCTGAATGTGACTCAACACAAGCCTTGGGACTGTAATTATACTTGTTCATTTATTATTAAATGACCCGCAAACAGGAAATAACCTTTAACGTTTGGCACAGAGAGAACAATCATCATGCTACAGATGTCTGTGAAGGACAAACTGCACTAGAGCAGGTAAAACCTGGACAGTAACAGCTGTGTTGGGGTGTTACCAGGTGGGTCTGACATCTTTAGTCAGATAATCACCATAGGACAGAGATCGGTTCTGTCTGATACCTCCAAACCCTAAAAGTACCAGATGATGCTTGTTAGAGAAACAAAACAGCTGATGAGGAAATAAAACCACCTGAACCCAACAGGGGTTGGCGAGTTATGGATCAAGACCTTATGGGTTGATTATGGTGGATACATCTTCTAAAGATTAGTAAAGTATTTAGGAACCATATGGACCACATAGACATGCTGTGGGTCAAGTTGGTCTGCTAGAGTTCTACTACCACCAGAACCCAGATTAGCATCTGAAATATCCATGCTGTCCCAGAATTAAAATCAATGTCCATAGCTGTCTCAGATAATCTCCATACTCACCTACAGCAGGCAGAACCGTACTCTTGGACTCCAGCGCGGCCTGCATGGTTCCCACCCGTATGTGAGCAATTAGAGAGTTTAAGCCTGGATGGAACAGAACCACCTGCAAGACAACATGTAGGGTTCAGCAAATAAGACCTAGAACCTAAAGTTACTGGTACCATTGGGAAATGTCAGTCCCAGATCCTAACAGAACTGGACCGCAATCTGGGAAATAAAGCTGAGCATCATCTGCATATAATGATAGAAGATAAGCTTACAAACAGGAAAATACTTTAGGTAGATTAGGTGGATTGTTAAAGATTGTGGGATTCAACTAAATTAGATGTATTAGACTAGATTAAATGGACTAGACTACATTAGACAAATAGACCAATATCAAAACTCCCATTTTTGTCTAAAGTTTTAGAGAAAGTGGCCTCTGAACAACTGGTATCTTTCTTACAGGATCACAATGTTTTTGACAGGCTCCAGTCCGGTTTCCATAAGCACCACTCTACGGAAACTGCTGTGCTTTAAGTGTCCAGTAATATTCTGATGTCCGCAGACACTGGGGAATGCACTGTACGAGTCCTGTTAGACCTCTCGTTTGCATTTGACATGGTCAACCATGAGATCATGTTGAGTAGACTCCGAGATTTGGTCAGGATGTCAGGTCCAGTCCTGGCATGGTTTTCATCCTATTTATTGGGTAGAAGCTTGAGTGTCTCAGTCAACCAGATCTTGTCCAACTCAACTGAATTGTTGAGTGGAGTACCCCAGGGCTCTGTTTGGGGCCCAGTTTTGTTCTTGCTTTACATTCTTCCTTTAGGAAAGTTAATGTGGGAGTTTGCCAATGATGTTTTCTATCATCTCTTTGCTAAAGATCTTCAGCTGTATTGTTCCTTTAGGCCCTCTGACGTTCAAAAATTGAATTCCTTATTGACTTGTCTCGAGCGCCTCAAACTGTGGCTTGGTGCAAATGCCTTACAGCTGAATTCAGACAAAACTGAAGTGCTGGTGATTGCCCCTGATAATGCTATTCCAGGGATTCACCAGCTCTTAGGTGATTTGAGCTTGTCCATTAAACCAAGCCATAGAAATCTTGGTGTTTTCTTTGACAAAGGAATGTCTCTTGAGCATCACTCAAAGCAGTTGACTAGAAAATGTTTTAACCATTTGTGAGAAATTTCCAAACTGCTTCCTCTGGGTTCAATCTTTCGTAAACATGGCCTAGTGTTCCATCTCTATGCTGACGATTGCTAGCCTAGTGAACTAGACCAAATTCTTGCTTTGCAAAGTTTGGTCCAGGAACGCTCCACTGGAACCTCTGCAGCCCCTAACAGTGTTCTGGCTGGCCAATCACAGCTCTCTAGAGGGGTTTCAAACACATAAAGAGCTGTGATTGGTCCATAATGGTGGGCCAATCATAGTGCTCTATCTGCTTAGTGAACAAATCACAGAGCTTTATCCGCTTTGTGGGCCAATCAGGGCACTCCATATGCCTGGTGGGTGGGATGATGCAACAGAGTGAAACAAGATGGCGACAGCTCGTTTGAAACGGCTTTTACATCAATTTTGGACTATTAGAACTTGGGCTTCATTAGAATCAGGAGCAGATAGATGTATTTAAGTGTTTTTTTTTTAGAAAAAATGATGTGTTTTCTCCTTCTTCAACTGCGGACCGCCTCATTTACCGATGGCTGTTGCGGTGAGTATGTCACATTCATTGTCTAGTAGCATGTGGAGATCATTTGAAAGACAACGGTAGAACCTGCCCCACAACTGAGAACCGTCAATGGAGCATTGCCAGACTAAATAATACATTTATTTAGTCTGGCTTGCCAGGCAAGACGATTGCCAGATTTACTCTCCATTGTGTCAAGAGAAAGGTCTCTCTATCCAGTCCTTCGTGTCCTGTCTTAACGAGGTGAAGTCTTGGCTAATGGCCAACTCTCTGCATCTGAATGAGGGAAAGACAGAGATCATTGTTTTTCACCCCAACAGCAGGGCTGTGGGTCGTCATGTTGATCTTGGCCCTCTTTCTCCCTACTCAAAACCAGTTGTCACCAGTCTGGGGGTGAAAATTGAAGCTGGACTTAAATTTGATGCTCACATCGACTCTGTGATCCGTTCCAGTTTCTTTCACCTGAGACGCCTTGCAAAAATCAAGCCTATGCTGTCGAGAGCCCACCTGGAGCGGGTACTGCATGCTTTTGTAATTTCAAGGCTTGATTACTGCAACTCTCTGTAGCAGTACGAAATACCTGCTCCAAGTTTATTGGTTTAGAACAGTACGCCCTCCATACGTAGGAGGGCGCTCCTGCTATAAAAGGGGAGCTCCTCCGGCAAGGAAGTAATTTCAGGAAACAGCTGGTTTTAAGTATACCACTACGTGTTACCAGCCCGTGTCCTTTGGCTGCGTTTTTGGGGTGATCGGCTCTGCTCCAACTGTGGTATGTACCTGGATGGCTACTCTGTTTAGCAGTAGAGTTACTGTGTCTCAGACTGTGTTGTGCACTCTGCAGCTTGGGCAATTAATCAGTGTTGGGTGTGACATCATCGCTTGCCTTTGATATACAAAACATTAGTAAACGGTACGTACCTTCTGCAGGTAGATAACCTATAAGTCAAACAATCTTAACATCAGCTCTTTGTAAAACCAGGGAAAGATTGAATCCCCGTTGCTGCCGGGCAGTAGGGTTGTCACGATACTAAAATTTCAAACTCGATTCGATACTTGAAAAAAACCTCGATGCTCGATTTCGATACTATTTTAAAACACCAATTTATTGAACAAGTTTATTCAAAAAATAACATTCCTCAATTTATATTGCAAAAATTAAATGTTAAGAATTAAGTGTGTAAAGTGCTTAAACCTTTCAAGTATCAGCATTTTTTAAAACGTGCATACAAAAACTGGCGAAAGTTAACACTTTAAATCATGAATTGTCTCACTATATGTACACTATTTGCAGAGTGATGTTTTGCTGCTTAAACTCTGTTTAAGGTGCATTTTTGTCATAAGATGTAATGCCATATGTTTTGTTCTGTACTTTTGAACAACTCTGTTGGTCAATAAAGGGAGAAAACGAATTTCTCCACAGTAGGACAAAGGTACATCTGCCGGTAATCTTAATAAAAACAGACTGGCGCACGGCAGTGACGTCATTAAAAGCACCGGTTAGATTAGCAGCGGCTAGTCTGTTCACGCCTAGAAATCCCAGACTCGCTCCGAATGAACGGGGGATCACGTTAATGATTCCTAACAAAACCTTTCGACATGAAGATGTTTTGGTGCAGATAATGTCTTATTTCGAGGCTGCACCATGGGTGCCCGTCCGCACCCGTTATATGGATATACGCTGACGGCGATTCGCCGATGGATCTAAATACCCCGGGGAATCCAAGTAGCACCAAAGTTGTCAGCGTGAGTAAACAAACGTACTGCATGCTAGAAATTAAGTCCGGGTTGCAATAAACGGGAGTTTCCTTTAAGCACATAAGCGTGAATATACAACTACGTGTCGGACTTGGTATGCTAATTAAGTTGGGCTGTGAAGCGCCTCCCAAATTCGCTGTTTATGTTTTTGTTTATTTATTTGGCAGACAAAACTTGGATCGGAGACAACTCGCGTGGGAAATTGCAATGTAGCCATGCGGCGTCTTCTTCTTCTGTTTGTCTGGGAGGCGGAGGCTGCTTTACGGCATCTGGCTGTCGTGCGTGTCGGTGTACTTGAAGAAGGCTGTGTATAATAGTCCATAATATCGATACCACAGGGATGGAATATCTAATTTAGGTACCACTTTTAGCATCGATTTATATCTAGGTATCGATTTTGTTGACAACACTACCGGGCAGGGAGTTCCCTTCTACTCAGGGGTCATCAGTGGGAGGACCGGTAGGTGTGTGCTGCGCCGTCTCCACACTTGGTCAGTTGTTAGTTTGTTAATTTCTACCTCTTCCTTGTCCTTTTAGATTTCTCCGTGGTCCAGCGGGAGGCGCTGCTGTTTTGTTTCGTTTCCTTTTTCTACATTTTAAATCAGCTGTTTGAAGGAAGTTCCCTGGCTCGTGGCCGGAGTCCAGAAGGAAGAACAGCTGATTTATATTGTACAAATTTTATACCGTTTTAAATCTCTTTTTCTTTGTGCAGGCTGAGGCAGGAGGTGTGATGTGTGGCCTCGGAGGTGGTGGTCCCGTGTGCGTGTGGTGGTGCTGGTTTTCTCACGTTGGTATGAATGTTCACTGCCAGGGGTGAATCTTTTATACGTTCTTTATTATTTTTGTTGTGTTGGGCTTCTCTGCCCCGCGTTACCTGCCTCCATCGCTAGCCTCAGTCCTGCTTGTTAACCTTTTTATTTATTTAAATTTGTAGTTGTATTGTGTTTAGTTAACTCTCATTTTTTGGGACTTCATGAATTAATTTCAGTGAGCTAAATTAATTTTTTTCTCTCCATACATTTCATTGGTTCAGTTTCTTTTGGGGCATTAATTTTAGTATTCTTTTATGGTATTTTACATGGCCAGTTTTTAAAATGTCTTTTAAACTGTCTCTTCTATAAAATAAAATAAATTCATTGTAACTTCTGAAACCACGTCTACTGTCAAGTGAAATGAATCTACATGCTTTAATTCCTTGGGTGAAATTCCCAAGGTGGCGTTGTTAACAAAATTACACTCGAGCAGGTACAATTGCCATCCTTGGCGTCAACAGGTCATAGACCACTCCTGTATTGCCACATCTCTATATGCAGGACTGGGTCAATCATCACTGCGTCGCCTACAGGTTGTGCAGAACAGCGCAGCCAGGTTCCTGACTGGCACTGGGAAATGGGACTACATCAGTCCGGTTCTGGCCTCCCTGCACTGGCTCTCGGTCTGTTATCGTTCACACTTTAAAATCCTCGTCTTTGTTTACAATTTCTTCTAGGGTGGTGCTCCCCTCTATCTAGCCACGCTCCTGAACAGACATTCCCCATCACGCGCTCCTCTGACCAAGGCCTGCTCGCTGTCCCTCGTTCTAGGTGCCGTACTCGTGGGGACCGGGCTTTCTCAGTCCTAGCACCGTCACTCTGGAACCAGTAGCCACCCTCAGTCAGGCTGTCCCCATCTCTGCCAGTCTTTAAGAGTCACCTAAAAACACACCTCCTCCGATTGGCGTTCCCTGAACCTGTTTGAGTTAGGCCTTCATTTATGTTGATTTTATTTCCCTGTTGTCATTGGTCTCTTTATCCCTTGTTTTAACCATTTGTCTTCTACTTTAATGTTTTACCTTTTTTGCACTATTTGAATTGCTTTTATTATCGATTTATTCATCATGTTTCACATTTCTCATGCACCGTGTTCAGTGCCTTGGGCTTCCCGACAGGGTCACGGAAGGCGCTTTATCAATAAAGCTTTGATTGATTGATTGACTGATTGATTGATTATCCACTCCTTTGTATTGTCCTGTTCAGACTACTATAACAGTTTATTTTCTTGTCTAAACAAACAAAGAGTTGTCCCTCTTACAACAAGTTTGAAATTGTGCAGCTAGAATACTGACCCGTGCCAACAGAAGGGCTCACATTACCCCCATTCTAAAAGCTCTTCATTGGCTCCCAATTTCTTCTCGCATCAGTTTTAAAATTCTTGTGCTGACTTTCAGAGCGCTGCATGGTCAGGCTCCACTGTACGTTCGAGACATGCTCTGTCCTTACATGCCTTCTCGAAGGTTGAGATCGTTGGATTAAAGTCTTCTCATGGTGCCCCGTACTCGATTCAAGACATGAGGAGAACGCTCATTCCAGGCCGTCGCGCCAAGGCTCTGGAATGAGTTACCTCTGTTCTTACGTTCACTCGACTCATTGATGCTTTTAAGAGCAATCTGAAAAGCCATTTGTTTCTCCGGGCATTCTAAACATATTTTGAATGCGGACTGGCTGTATACGGCTTTTTATTGTGACTGTATTTTATAGTAGCTTATTTACGTGTCATTTTAACTTGTGAAGCACTTTGTGACCTTTTTGTCTGTGAAAGGTGCTATATAAATAAAGCTTACTTACTTACTAGACAGATTAGACTAGACTTGATAGACTACACTAAATTAGATTAGTTAGATTTGACTATATTAGTTAGATTAGACCAGATTAGATAAAATGGATTAGACTACATTAGATTTATCACACATATTAGATGTTTTAGACTAGATTAAATGGACTGGTCTACATTAGACGGATTAGACTAAATTAGATTAGGTAGATTAGACTAGATTACATTGATTAGACAGGATTAGATTCTAGTAACCAAACTTGCTAGCAGCACCAAAGACTCAGTAATCATCTGCTGGGGTTCCCTCAAGAAACACCCAGATGGGTCACCTTGGCAGTCCAGTTGGTCTGGGTCATCTTTCCGGAGGTGGAGATGGTGTGGGTGAAGATTTTCCCATCATCTGGAATCCAGGGACCACAGATGCTCTCCGTCTGTAAGGAGACACATTTACATCCCATACATCATCCAAATAAAGCATGAAGTGTGTTCTAGAAGCTCAGAAGCTGCTGGTGGACACCATGTATCCCAGAGGACAGGAGTGGATGTTGGCGTGATGGATGCAGCAGTTTTCCCCGTTGGCGTCTTTCCAGTTGGCCGGACAATCGTGTTGTTCACAGAACCTCTGAGCAGATGCAGCATCTGTTATGGAGCTGAAAAAACCAGTTCAGACTGGAAACCAGTCCAGGATCCATGGTTGTCCATCCCAAACTAGCAGCAGAACCAGCTCACCTCCGGGAGAAGATACGGTTCTGGACAGCCCAGCGGTAGAAGGACTCATGGGCCGTTACGGAATAGGTGACACTGAACACCTCACCGGTCTTCACCAGCTCTGGAGGACGGACCACCCAGGACATCTCCAGCCCTGGAGCACAAACCCGGGATGGACAGTGTCAGGTCCAAACGACATCATCAATGTAAACAGGAAGTTGTTGTTGCTTATGGTTTAGCTCAAACTTCATTTTTACTTTTTAAACCAGAAAGAAATGTTAATAATAATAATAATATTAATATTCGTATTAATATTCATATTAATAATAACAACGATAGTAATACTACTACTACTACTACTACTAATAATAATAATAATGATAATAATATTGATAATTATAATAATAACAATAATAATAATAACAACAATATTAATACTACTACTACTACTACTACTACTACTAATAATAATAATAATGATAATAATATTGATAATTATAATAATAACAATAATAATAATAACAACAATAGTAATACTATTACTACTACTACTACTACTAATAATAATAATGATAATGATATTGATAATTATAATAATAATAATAATAACAACGATATTAATACTACTACTACTACTACTACTACTAATAATAATAATAATAACAATAATAATAATGATAATAATATTGATAATAATAATAATAGTAATAATAATAATAATAATAATAATAATAATAATAATAATAATAATAATAGTAGTAGTAGTAAAATTTATTAATTGGTGGAGTCAGAACTGAACCACCTCCAGAATCAGCAGGTACCAGGTGGGTCAGAACCAGTACCAGAGCACTGGTGGACCCGTCTCACCTCCACACTCGATCATGTTGGACTCGTTGGGCCCGTCCAGAGGCCAGCAGTCGTACTCGCTGTTGTCCAGATCGTGCCAGCCACAGACGGGTCCCCAAACCCAAACCTGCTCCAGATGTTTTCGTGGTTTTGGGTCACAAAGATCACATTTTCAGTTTTTATATTGAAACACAGAACTGATGTGAAACGAATCTGACCTCGTCTCACCAAAGGAAAACATTTTTACATAAACATAAGTGTCTAATCGTTGAAATAACCTTAGTCTGAATCTCCTCAGCCTAATAAACATCAGTAATGTTCATCATCAATGTAGAAGATCAGAATCCAGAGTAAAGTGCTGGTCTTCAGAGCTACTGGTGGACACGAAGACGTGTTCTTACCCAGAGAAGAAGCCAGAGTCTCTGCTGGGTCTTCATGCTGCTGCAGGGACAGACGGACTGAGACGGAGACAGGAGGACAGGCTGCTGGATGAGGAGCATCCGAGGAGAACAGGGATGAGTTTCATCTCCTGCCTCCTTCTGCCTCCTGCTGGTGCACACCGGTACTGCACACAGCTGCAGAGTTTATCCTAATAAACAGTTTTAATGTTTGTTTATCTTGTTTATGAGTTCTTATTCAGGATGAATGACGCTTCAGGATGTCTCCAGAACCTCCTGAGTTATGGAAGTCTGTTAAAATCATTTATTCTGGCTTTAGTGATCATTTATTTATGTGTAATTCAACAGTTAAGCTAATTGAACAGCAGCAGTATTTGTTGTATGGAAAGCCAAACACGCATCATTTCAGGATGAAGAAACCATGATGCTCCAGGCTCATCCTTTGAGTTACAGGAGCCACCTGGTGAGTGACACGCGCGAGGCGCGTGCGCCACCCGGTGGCCTGTGATTATCGTGTTTGTGCGCGTGAGGAGGAGGAGGGGCAGATGAGAGTTAGCCCCTCCTCCCGTCCGGTTCTGTCGGCACGCGACTCGAACCGTTTACGGCTCCTAACCGACCAGTCACCGAGGGCTGCGCGAGGACGCGAAGCAGCGCGTGTGCGTGCGCGTAACCCGGCTCGTGCGCGCTTCCAAGACTCTTACCGGTTGAAGGAAGTTTGGTACCGGGAATGTAACGGAGCTGTTAGCGGGTTTTACCGAGTCTGTGGCCGGTTCTGGTCGTCTAGCAGCAGAGGAGGTCTCCGGAAACTCCGACATGGTTCTGACTCCAGAATACCGGACCCGGTTCTGACCGAGCAGAGCTGGATCCTGGTCGGTACCCTCATATCTGGTGAGATGATGCTGGTTCTGGTTCTGCTGTGCTGGTTCTGTGCGCTGACCCGGACTCAGCTTCTGGACCTCAACAGGTAAGTCTGAATGTTTTAACTCTGGAACAGAACCAGGTTGAACTGGCGCTGCTGGTCCGGTTCTGGAGCCACTGGATCTAAACCAGGTTGAACTGGTGCTGCTGGTCCGGTTCTGGAGCCACTGGATCTAAACCAGGTTGAACTGGTGCTGCTGGTCCGGTTCTGGAGCTACTGGGTCTAAACCAGGTTGAACTGGCGCTGCTGGTCCGGTTCTGGAGCTACTGGGTCTAAACCAGGTTACTGAACTCTGGTTCTGATTGTGAAGCCCAGTCTGGACTCAGGAGTGTGTTTGGTGAGAGGAGCTGCAGGAGTCTGACTGATGGGTGGAAACTATGTGGGGGAGGACCCCCCCCCCCCCCCCCCCCCATTATTCATGTCCCCACATGCTCCAGGACACGGGAGACGCAGGAACGCTCAGAACTAGTGATCCGGGCCCCGGCAGCAGAACCAGCAGAACCTACTCCAGATGTTCCAGTCTCAGTAATCCAGCTGCAGGAGGGCAGATTACAGATTATTAGTGTGTTTGTGTTACAGCTGGGGGCCGGCCCTGTTGTCTGACGGCCTCTGTCGCTACGGCAACGCTGTGCAGTGCTGCTGGGGCTGGAGGTGGACGGAGCTGGGACGGTGTCAGCGTGAGGACAACACACACACACACACACACACACACACACACACACACACACACACACACACACACACACACACACACACACACACACACACACACACACACACAAATAAAGAAACCCTTAAACTCTACATGAAACCTTGGTTCATCGGGAACAATCAGCTGTGGCCTTAGGTGATGTTGCCCCGCCCCCTCTGGAGCTGGACAGCTCAGGTACACGCTCCAGCATCTAAACAGGAAGCTGGACGTTCCATGTCGACCCCTCAGAGTCCAGCTGCAGACAGGAAGTTGGGGCTGTTTCAGCTCCTCGTACAGACGAGGATCAGATCTGATGTCCCTTAATTATCCCTCTTCCTCTCGTAAAGAAACACAAACACCACAGTTATGATCACACGGGAGGGGTGGGGGGTGGTGGGGGGGGGGGGGGTACTGCCAGTAAAACAAGCTGGATTTTCTGGAATCTGTCCGGCTTTTGTTCCTAATGAACTAAAACCAGCCACTGATCCAGAGTCTGCTCTACATGCTCACACACGATCAGCCATGTGTGTTATTTAATGTGTGTGTGTGTGTGTGTGTGTGTGTGTGCAGCTCACTGTCAGCAGGGATGTAAACATGGAGAATGTGTCGAACCAGACAGATGCAAATGTTACCCAGGATACACCGGAAGAGCCTGTAACCAAGGTAACTACGCATTTGTGTGTGTGCGTGTGTGTGTGTGTGTTAGACGCCCCCATGTTTCCCCCACAGAGTTCATGCTGGTTCAGAGGATAATGGGATCAGTTTGAAAAACTGGTAGAGTGAGACATCTGGACAGGTCCAAATCCATATCCAGATCCTGATTCTGATCTGATTCTGGTCAAGATCCAGATCCAGATCCAGATCTAGATCATGATCCATATCCAGCTCCAGGTCCAGATGATGATCAGCTCCAGATTCAGATCCAGATCATGGTCCAGGTCCAGATTCTGATCCTGATTCTAATTCTGATTCAGGTCCAGATCCAGATCCAGATCATGATCCATATCCAAGTCTAGGTCCAGTTCCAGGTCCAGATCAGGTTCAAACCTGTCCTCAGAGACACCAGCTCTCTGTAGTCTGGCTGAGATCAGATATTTGCCATCATGCATCAGAGGAAATGGAAACACATTCCTGTCATGCTTGTTTGATCTGTGAGGGCGTGTTTTACCTGCAGACCCCCCCCCCCCCCCCCCCCCCCCCACACACACACACACACACATGCAGAGAGGGAGGAGATACAAATTTCTGATTAGAGACTTCATTATGACTCATATCCTGACTTTAAACAGCATTTAACTTTTAAAAGAATGCACACGCACTCACACACACATGCATGCGCACGCACGCACATAATGTGAGTAAAACATCTACAGACTTAAAATGCTCCAATGACAAACGAGGTTAGAGGTCAAAGGTTAATCCTGCAGGTTGACACAGAGTGAGAATGGAGAAAAGCTGCAGGTTAATGTTTGACCTTTGCCCTCTGTGTGTGTGCTTCAGACCTGAACGAGTGCGGCCTGAAGCCCCGCCCCTGCAAACACCGCTGCATGAACACACCTGGCAGCTTTAAGTGTTTCTGTCAGGACGGATTCTCTCTGCAGGCCGACGGCAGCTGCAGGAGTGAGTTCATCAGGATCCTCTCAGCTTTCATCTGTGTTTAACAACGAAACTCACGTTTATTCACCTGTTGTTGTCAGACGTCCGAACCTGTTACCATGCCAACTGTCAGTATGGCTGTGAGGTGACGAAGGGTCAGGTGAGCTGTACCTGTCCATCGCCAGGGTTACGTCTGGGACCAGACAGGCGCTCATGTGTCGGTCAGTGTGTGTGTGTGTGTGTGTGTTAGCATCATGAGATTCTGGTTGGTTGTCCATCTCATACCTCTCTCTCTCTCTCTCTCTCTCTCTCTCTCTCTCTCTCTCTCTCTTTCTCTCGCTCTCTCTCTCTCTCTCTCTCTCTCTCTCTCTCTCTCTCTTTCTCTCACTCTCTCTCTCTCTCTCTCTCTCTCTCTCTCTCGCTCTGTCTCTCTCTCTCTCTCTCTCTCTCTCCCTCTCTCTCTCCCCCCATCTGCAGACGTTAACGAGTGTGTGTCAGGAGAGGTTGTGTGTCCTCATCGTAGAAAGTGCTTAAACACATTTGGGAGCTTCATCTGTAAATGTCACCTGGGCTTCAAGCTAACGTACATCAATGGCAGATACACCTGCATAGGTAAGAACATGGGGGGATGAAGATGAGGATAATGATGATAATGACTGTGGTGATGATGATTCCGTAGATGACGATGATGATAATAATGATAATACTATGGTGATGAGGATGATAATGAGTATGATGATGATGATAATCACGACTATGGTGATGATGATGATGATGATGATGATGAAGAAAATGATAACGATAATAATTATGATGATGATGATAATCACGACTATGGTGATGATGATGATGATGATGATGATGAAGAAAATGATAACGATAATAATTATGATGATGATGATTATCATGACTATGGTGATGATGATGATGATGATGATGAAGTTAATGATAACGATAATAATTATGATGATGATGACGATGAAGATAATAATGATGACGGCAATGATAACTTTAATGATGATGATGATGATGATGATGATGATGATAATCATGACTATGGTGATGATGATGATGATGATGATGATGAAGAAAATGATAACGATAATAATTATGATGATGATGATAATCATGACTATGGTGATGATGATGATGATGATGATGATGATGATGATAATCATGACTATGGTGATGATGATGATGATGATGATGATGATGATGATGATGAAGAAAATGATAACGATAATAATTATGATGATGATGATAATCATGACTATGGTGATGATGATGATGATGATGATGATAATCATGACTATGGTGATGATGATGATGATGATGATGATGATGATGATGATGATGAAGAAAATGATAACGATAATAATTATGATGATGATGATAATCATGACTATGGTGATGATGATGATGATGATGATGATGATGATAATCATGACTATGGTGATGATGATGATGATGAAGAAAATGATAACGATAATAATTATGATAATGATGATAATCATGACTATGGTGATGATGATGATGATGATGATGATGATGATGATAATCATGACTATGGTGATGATGATGATGATGATGATAATCATGACTATGGTGATGATGATGATGATGAAGAAAATGATAACGATAATAATTATGATAATGATGATAATCATGACTATGGTGATGATGATGATGATGATGATGATGATGATGAAGTTAATGATAACGATAATAATTATGATGATGATGACGATGAAGATAATGATAATGATGACGGCAGTGATAACTTTAACGATGATGATGATGATAATCATGACTATGATGATGATGATGATGATGATGATGATGAAGATGATGATGATGATAAAGATAATGATAACGATAATAATTATGATGATGATGACGATGAAGATAATGATGACAATGATGACAGCAATGATAACTTTAATGATGATGATGATAATCACGACTATGGTGATGGTGATGATGATGATGATGATGATGATGATGATGATGATGATGAAGATAATGATGACAATGATGACAGCAATGATAACTTTAATGATGATGATGATAATCACGACTATGGTGATGGTGATGATGATGATGATGATGATGAAGATAATGATGACAATGATGACAGCAATGATAACTTTAATGATGATGATGATAATCACGACTATGGTGATGGTGATGATGATGATGATGATGATGATGAAGATAATGATGACAATGATGACAGCAATGATAACTTTAATGATGATGATGATAATCATGACTATGGTGATGATGATGATAATGATAACGATAATAAGTATGATGATGATGAAGATAATGATGACAATGATGACAGCAATGATAACTTTAATGATGATGATGATAATCACGACTATGGTGATGGTGATGATGATGATGATGATGATGATGATGATGATGAAGATAATGATGACAATGATGACAGCAATGATAACTTTAATGATGATGATGATAATCACGACTATGATGATGATGATGATGATGATGATGATGATGATGATGATGATGATGATGAAGATAATGATGACAATGATGACAGCAATGATAACTTTAATGATGATGATGATAATCATGACTATGGTGATGATGGTGATGATGATGATGATGATAATGATAATAATTATGATGATGACGATGAAGATAATGATGACAATGATGACAGCAATGATAACTTTAATGATGATGATGATAATCTCGACTATGGTGATGATGATGTTGATGATGATGAAGATAATGATAACGATAATAATTATGATGATGACGATGAAGATAATGATGATAATGATGACAGCAATGATAACTTTAATGATGATGATGATGATGATGATGATGATAATGATAACGATAATAAGTATGATGATGATGAAGATAATGATAACGATAATAATTATGATGATGACGATGAAGATAATGATGACAATGATGACTTTAATGATGATGATGATAATCATGACTATGGTGATGATGGTGATGATGATGATGATGATGATGATGATGATGATGATGATAACGATAATAAGTATGATGATGATGAAGATAATGATGATAATAATGTTGGCAATGATATTGATGTTGATGATAAAAAAAGACAATGCCAATGGTGATGAAGGTGATGATAATGATATTTATGACGAAGATGAAGATAATTATGATAATGATGATGAAGATAATGATAACGATAATAATTATGATGATGACGATGAAGATAATGATGACAATGATGACTTTAATGATGATGATGACAATCATGACTATGGTGATGATGGTGATGATGATGATGATGATGATGATGATGATGATGATAACGATAATAAGTATGATGATGATGAAGATAATGATGATAATAATGTTGGCAATGATATTGATGTTGATGATAAAAAAAGACAATGCCAATGGTGATGAAGGTGATGATAATGATATTTATGATGATGATGAAGATAATGATGATGATAATGATGATATTTATGACGATGATGAAGATAATTATGATAATGATGATGAAGTACATCATATCATGAATATTTTAGTGAGTTTTAAATCACAAAAATGATGATTAATCAGGATTGGAAGCATTTGTTGTTATTTTTCCTCCTCTGACAAAACAAGACGAATGTTGCTGGGATGCTCTTCAAAATAAGAGCACTAAACTTTATTGTGTAGAGATCTTTAGGCTTTTGTCAATAACCTGACATGAAAAGTGTCAGAGAATCAAAGGTGAGACTGAAGTATTTAGTTTTTATCGCACTAGAATCATTACAGACCACCATAAAAATGATTACCACAGGATAGTCTGGACGGTTAGTCTGAGTTTGGATTCAGACATTAAACTTGAGCATGAGTGAGTGCCGTTGTTTATTAGAGCAGGTATGTCTTTACTAGAAGCGGACTCTAGCATCCTGAGAAGCTCCAAAGCTCCTCTGATGAATTCAGGCCCCAGCGTTTTGTTCCTAAAGCAGGATTTACAGCAATTACTGCTTCTTTCTTCAGCCGCTGGAGAAACCAGCTGCTTCTTCTCAGCTAAACTTCTGGGTCATTTCACCCATAAAAGCAAGCCAACTGGACCTCCTGGTGGGTCCAGCCACAGTTCACAGCTCATTTCCTGTCTGTGTTTTCTTTACTGATCCTTGTAGGCGTTGTCCATCTTATCCAGAACGGTTGTTCAGATTTATTTGCTCCAGAAGCTCCAAAAGCAGAGCTGGACGCCTCTTATGGACCTAGTTAGTGGAAATGACACAAGGTTGCTGCAGGAGCCCTGCTCTTCTCTTACAGCTGGAGAATGGGCTGGTATCTGTAGGAATCTAAAACCGTGATAAAATAATCTGATCCATCATGTTTGTGTCTCATGACCAGATAAAGACAGTCGGCCCTTCTGCTCTCTCAATCCGTCCTCTCCAAAGTGCCGGTGTAAAGATGACACCTGCAAAGGTAACGGGACCCATCTGTCTGTCTGTCTGTCTGTCCACCCCATAACTGAAAGGCTGATCTTCTAGTTTTCAACACAACATGTCTGATTTCATATTGAACTTTTATCTCTGAGTGATTATTTAGTAGATGTGTTGTTGCCATGGAAACACAGGGAAGCTGTTTCACTACGTCTGTCTTCCAGACATCCCCAGAGTGACTTTAAAACCAGAGAGACCCAGAACTACAACTCCCATGAGTACCACAGCTACGACTCCCACCCGTCCTCAACCAACTATCCACCCGACAACCACTGTTGCTTCGACAACCATCACCATAGCAACAACCCTTTTGGCTCTGTCTACAGCTACCCCAACTCCAACAATCCCACCCACCATAACAGACCCACCCACTACAACAACCCCACCCACTACAACCACAACACCAATCCCACCCACCACAACAACCCCACTCACTACAACCACAACAACCCCACTCACTACAACCACAACAACCCCACTCACTACAACCACAACAACCCCACTCACTACAACCACAACAACAGACCCACTCACCACAACAACACCACCCACTACAACCACAACAACAACACCAACTTCAACCACACCTCCACCCACCACAACAACTCCACCCACCACAACAACTCCACCCACTACAACCACAACACCACCCACCACAACAACTCCACCCACTACAACAACAACACCACCCACTACAACCACAACAACAACACCAACTACAACCACACCTCCACCCACCACAACAACTCCACCCACTACAACAACAACCCCACCCACTACAACCACAACAACAGACCCACTCACCACAACAACACCACCCACTACAACCACAACAACAACACCAACTACAACCACACCTCCACCCACCACAACAACTCCACCCACTACAACAACAACCCCACCCACTACAACCACAACACCACCACCCACTACAAAAGCATCAACAACTCCGAAACCTTTGCCCACCACCCAGCAAACGACTACACCATCTCCTCCCACCAGGCAGGTGACGACCCCACTGAACAAGGACGTGACGCAGAGGCAGAGAGGAGACGTCCACAGTGAGGACACAAACACTCAGTAATCATAAAAACAATTTTAGATTTAGTAACTAATGTGTGTGTGTGTGTGTGTGTCTCAGTCCCTCGACAGCCGAGCACCAATCATGTGTTGGAGTTTGACATTGAGCTGGGAAACACTGCTGACGATATTGGAGACGATCCTGGTATGACGAAACAAACAAACACGTCCTAAACCTACTTCACACTGGAACCATCAGCAGAGCGAAACGGTCTTGGCCACAGAACGACTTCTTCGCTGTGCTCCTCGCTTAACTCACGAGTTCACGAAATCCATCTGCCATTAAAAATCCTGCTTGATGTCACTGCTTGATGTCATAAACGATGTTGGGCAATCACTAGTATGTATTTAATCTACATGGATATGAAATTGCATCGTTATTACATTATTTTGAAAATCACCGAGGGTTTGTGCTTTCCTGTCTAGCCCTATGTTAACTGCAGAAATGATCGTGTCGCAGAAGTGGCACGTGGCAAAAATACAACCTGATCCTATCTTTAGCTGTGCGGCTTGGCGATTCACTTCTGGGACACACCCGGAAATTTCTGGGTCATGGTCGGTTTGAATCCCCCCGTAGATTATAATGAATTCTAATTTGATGCACTGATGTTCCGTTGTTGTTCCGCACAGCTGATGCTTCCAGTGTGAAGTAGGGGTTATTGTAGAAGCATCAGGAGTTCAATGTAACATCTGTACTTGGTGTTTCTGTTATGATGTCGTTAGTGTGGGAAAGTCTTCCAGCACTCGAAGAGTACAATCGTTTCTCTTCTCTCCTCTTTTATCTTTTCCCAAGGCTGTTGTTCTGTCTGTCAACAGAACGCTTCTCTGCCTTCCTTCTGAAAATCCTAATTTGACTAAATCATGGATTTGGTCCACTGGTCGTTCAATACGATTGGCAAGATTGTTTCAACAATGAGAATGAAGCAGGGGGCTCCAGCTTGTCTGGATGGAACGCACCCGGTGGGATATACTTTGGATTCCTGGAAGGTGTGGAATATTATATGCCTTTCCATGCTGTCTGCGGAGGACATCAAATACATGGACTTTTGTAATTATGTTTACTGGATTTCTTATGATTGGAGAAGGAGGATTTCTCATATTTTGAAAAATTGGGAAGTCGGGGGCGATTGGATTGCCACACGGGTCCTCGGAGCCCCCATTGGGAGCTAGGCCTGGAGTTAGGGCACTTTGGCAATCACCTGGTGGGGAACCACCAGGTATGGGTCCCCCTTCACATGGACTCACCACTTGTGGGAGGGGCGTGGACTCACCTTGATGCATGGCTCTGGCTCCAGAACCAGATTCCTTAAGAGGGGTTGGACACTACTACTCTGGAGTTGCTTCCACTGAGAGGCGCTGAGCAGGGGTGGGCATACTTCTTGCCGTGGGCATACTTCTTGCCCCCCAACTTGGTGCCTATATGTTGGGGTTTTACACAATGAATGAGAGGGAATGAGGGGTGCTCCACCATTCTCCTGGGGCACTTCAATGTTCACTTGGGCAACGACAGTGAGATCTGGAGAGGTGTGGCTGGGAGGAACTGCCCCCTTGATCTGAATCCGAGAGGTGTTTTGTTATTGGACTTCTGTGCTCTTCATGGATTGTCCAAAATGAACACCATGTGCAGGCATCAAGATGACCATGTGTGCTCTTGGCACCAGGACACCTTTATGGGCTGTAGCTCAGTGATCGATTTTGTTGTTTTATCTGATCTGCGGCTGCATGTCTTGGTCACTTGGGTGAAGAGAGGGGCGGAGCTTTCAACTGATGACTACCTGGTGGTGAGTTGGCTTGAATGGGTTGGGGAGGATGCCGGTCAGACATGGCAAACCCAAACATGTTGTAAGGGTCTTCTGGGAATGTCTGGCAGAGTCTCCTGTCAGAAGGAGCTTCAATTTCCACCTCCGACAGAACTTTAAACGTGTCCCAGGGGAGGTGGTGGTGATGGAGTTTGAATGGGCCCTGTTCTGTGACTTAATTTTTGAGTTGGCTCACCATAGCTGTGGCTGCAAGATGGTCGGTGCCTTTCGAGGTGGCAACCCCCAAACCTGCTGATGGACACTGGCAGTTAAGGATGCTGTCAAGAGGCCAAAATGAGTTTTCTCTTCACAATGGTGGGGCTCCCCCTTAGAGATGCTCAGCCATCCAGGTGCAGCTCGGAGTAGACCTGCTGCTCCTCTACTTCAAGGGTAACCAGGTGAGGTGGCTCGGGCATCAAGTTAGGATGCCTCCTGGACGCTTCACTGGTGAGGTTTTCTGAGCATGTCCAACCGGGAGGAGAACCAAAGGAAGACCAAGGACTGGCCAGATAACACCTTGCTCTGGAAGAGCTTGCCCAAATTAGCCCAGTGAACTAGACCAGATGATTGTTTTGTAGTTTGGTCTAGGAATGCTCCAATGGAACCTCTGCAGCCCCTAGCAGTATTCTGTGGGCCAGTCCCAGCTCTCTATAGGAGTTTCAAACCAATAAGAGTGCTGTGACTGGTGCACAATGGTGAGCCTATCACAGCGCTCTTATCGGCTTTGTGGGCCAATCAAGTTGCTTCATTAGTCTGGTGGGCGGGATGATGCGACGGAGTAAAATAAACAACATTTAAAGTTAAAGTCCCATCAGTTGCCACACACACTGATGTGTGTGCAAAATTTGTTTTCCGCATTTGACTCATCCCCTGGGGGAGCGGTGAGCTGCAGACACGGCCGCGCTCGGGAATCATTTGGTGGTTTAACCCCCGATCCAACCCCTTAATGCTGAGTGTCAAGCAGGGAGGCGTTGGGTCTTTGTTTTTTCTAAGTCTTTGTTTATTCTAAGTCTTTGGTACGACCCGACCAGGAATCGAAGCCTGATCCCCCAGTCTCAAGCCGGACACTCTACCGCTAGACCACTGAGCTTTTATTACTTGATTGTTTAAGCTACTCCACAGAAGTGGTCGGTTTGTCAACAAAGTTGTTAAATGTTAAAATAAAGGTAATTAAATAAAAAATAAGGAACCTTCTAGATCTGTTTCTTCGCTTTCTTTATTCTTTGTTTATGTATCAAACGTATCGGGTCGGGACTTGGTATCGTCAGATTCTCACAATCAAATGACTCGGACTCGGGTGCAAAAAAAACCCCTGATCGGGACATCCCTACAACTTTCCCACACCTTTAATTCAGGATATAAAGTTCTTGACTGTGTGTGTGTGTGTGTGTGTGTGTGTGTGTGTGTGTGTGTGTGTGTGTGAGACAGATGCTGGTGTTCTTCACTGCTCCTTTGACCAGGGACTTTGTGACTGGATGTCTGAGAGAGATGGAGATCTGCACTGGGAAATCATGAACTCTCCTACAGGTCTCACACACACACACACACACACACACACACACACACACACACACACACACACACACACACACGCACGCACACACACACACACACGCACACACACACCAGACATTCTCTAGAAATAACTAAAGACAGCCCTCAACCTGAACCAGGTCCACCTCTTTAGAGCCGGGTCAGACCTCCTTCTGCCTTCAGAACTGCTTTACCTCTGGGTCTCATGGATCCTACCAGGTGTTGTGGATGTCCCTCTGAAGTGTGGATCATTTATCATTCTGGTGTCTGTGGAGGCCACTGGACTTCTGTGACCTCAGAGGTGTTTTCTGTCCCAGGTGGACACTTCCTGTCCGTCCCTGACTTGAAGGCAGGTCAGAGGAGCGTTCGAGGCGCTCGATTGGCCATCCAGATCTCCCAGCTCTGGAGCCACGGTGACCTGTGTTTCTCCTTCTCTCATTGGCTGACGGGGCATCAGGTGGGCGTGCTGCAGCTGTTCATCAGTAAGCCGGGTCATGACCAACGGTACCAGAACCACACTTGCTTTGACATCCTTATTTATCTGAGTTCAGCTGGGTAAATCACTGACTCCTGATTGGCTCTTGCAGGTATGGCTCCGCCCTCTGGAGCAGGACCGGAGGACATGGCTGGAGACAGACCCAGGTCACCATGACGACACATTCTGTGGACAGAGTGAGTCAGAAATAAAAAAGCATCCAGACGATGACGATGAAAAGGAAGATGATGATGATGATGATGATGATGATGATGTGTGTGTGTGTGTGTGTGTGTAGGTGCTGCTGAAGGCTGAGCGAAGAAAAGGTCGACGTGGACAGATTGCTGTTGATGATGTCATTGTGAAGCGCGGGGCATGTTGATGACATCACAGACCAACTTCTGTTCTGATGGACGTTCTTGTTGCAGAACGCTAAATGTTCCTGCTTCTTTCTGGAGGCTCAGCGTCAACATGCCGAGCCGAGCGTATTTATTACCTGTTCAGTCATGAATCAGTAAAAACATTAAACGTTTTCTCAAACAGGAGCGTTTTATGGATTTTTCTGTTTCATGTAAATAAAATTATTTTCTTGTTACGAGACAAACAAGCCCAGCCAGGTCGGGTTTTCAAACAACAATAATAATAAAAGTAATCTTCCACATAAAGGTAGTCCTGATACTTGTTCACCAGGTTGTTTAGTTTCACCTGAAAGCAAAAACCTCTAAAATCAGTTCTGATGAGGTGTTGTTCTAGGCTCCTGTACCTTCTCCATTAGCCCCGCCCCTTTTTGGAGCTCTGCTGGTTTCACCTTAACCTGCAACACCTAAGACATTGAAATGATTTTCTAAATGCGTTTATTTAGCGACGCCACAGGTTCTGTCGCAATAAGACATGTGAGTCAGAATCACACAGGTAAACCTGGAACACCTTCACAGGTGTTCGAGTCTAACCCATCCAGGTGTTCAGCAGCTCTTACGTAAATAACAGAATTATCTGCAACCAGGAGGTAAAGTAATGTAAGTGGTCCGACAGCAGAGCCTTGTGGAACTACTTTTTGTGCTCATGAGGATTTTCAGCTGTGACAAATTGTTTACAAGTTATCTAATAAAAAAACATTGTTTATCCAGGTGTCAGGTGAGAGTCAACAGAGTTTTGTGATCAGTGAAAACGTAACTAATGTTTCATGTTAAGATAAAAGCAGCTTTTTATGAACAGCCGTCGTGGGCTGGAGCGGCTGCACCTGCAGAGAGGAGTAGGAGCCCCCTGAGGATTTTATGTGTTGAACATCTGGTTCTGACATCTGGACCCAGCAGTCGATTTGGCTGATTTAGGGGAGTTTGACAGATTCTCTAGTTTAAGTGTTAGAGCCAAAGCTGTGATTTAAACTTCGAGTGAAACCAGCTGGAGGTTCTGAGGGAGGAGGTGCTCCTCTTCACCTCCTAATTACCACCCTCAGCTCCTCACGCTCTCCTCAGAGTCTCCTCTGCCACATGCTGGTCTGGTTGACGGGTAGGCACCGATGAGGTCGTGGAAGCCCACAGGAAGGGGTAGGGGACCACCCTCTGCTGGGATGCAAACACACAGCTATGAACCACATTGTCACGTTGAGCGCTGGAGGTGTTGGACCCGATGTGCAGACACACAGAGCGACACGAGGCAGGAGAGGAAGTAAAAGTAAACATTCTTTATTAAGAATGAAAAACCCTAAAGAGCTAGTAGGGCACGAGGCCAAAAACCTAGAGACCTAAGAGGGGTGGTGGTGGTGGTGGTGGTGGTGGGGGGGGGGGGGGGGGGGGGCTGGCGGAGGATGAGGGGGGGTTTGTCTGAAGACAAACAACGCTGACAAGGATAATGGATCTGCAACATATTGAGACGCAGACAGGGTTTTATACACAAGGGCAGGGTGATTGGGAGATGAGCCGCAGGTGCGTGGGGAGGGAAAAACCGAGGAAACCTGGTGAAGTCAATTTTCTAATTAGGGAGAGGAGTCTAAGCTGAGGAAGGGAAAAAGACCAAACCTATGAATAATGACCAAACCTAAGGACTAGAAGAACAAGATAACTAATGATCTCAGGAGGAAGGAAGAACTAAGAACCCGGTGGGGAAGGAACAAGGAAGGAAACTAAAAGAAAACCTGAACCTGTTAAAGCTACAGGGAAAAACTAGCTAGATAATATAAATACACAGAGAAATGAGCGAACCTGGGAAACCTGGTGGGAGCTGGAGACAAGAAGGGGCACAGGAAGCTTGGGTACCAATGAGGGGGATCCTAGAGGGACACCTGGAGGGGTTGGGGAATGCAAGGAGCACAGAGGAACACAAGGAGACACATGAGGGGAACCTAGAGAGGGCTGGAGAACACAAGGAGACACGTGAGGAGGACGCAGGACGCAGAACATGACATACGTGATCAGATTAAAAAAACTTTGGAGGTTTTTATCACTGAAGATCAATAAAAGAACAAGAAATCTTCAATAAAAAAATCAAATATAATAAAATATAATAATCAGATTTTTATTCTCACCAACTCTATAAAACAAAAACACAGAGAAATGTTTTTGGGTGTGATTGATTAACTGAGCTTCACTCAGTTTGGTTGATTGATTGCCAGAAACCTGCTGCGGTTAATTATTCTATTTATATTAAAACAAAAGAGGTGGGTTGATGACATCAGAAGGTCAGAAGTGATGTTCTGTGATGACATCATAATCAGCATCCAATCCCTGCTCAGTATTCCTGTGTGGAGACATCACCTTAGAGATGGAGAGGTCTCCTCCTGGGGTCAGAAGTAGAATTCAGGTTAAGAAATTATTGACAGATTGATTAACTAATTGATTAATTAACTGATTGATTAATTTATTAACTGACTGATTAATTGATTAACTGATTGATTGACAGCTCAATCAACGGTTACCTGCAGCTCTGCGGCGATACAAAGACACCATGAGGAGGGTGGAGATGAAGTAGGGACAGAAAACCACTAGGAGCAGGAGCAGTTTGACCTGGAGTGAGAAGGAGCTCGGGGGCGAAGCTACGGAGGTAGGCGGGGCTCTGGTTGTAGGTCTACTTGTAGACGGGATCCCACCTGATCAGGATAGTGAAACGTGTTATAATGAGTGTGAAGCTCCTGACCGTTCCTCTCTGTTCCCCAACCACAGACCTCGGAGAACCACAGAGCTCTGTTCTAGGCTGTGGCTAGGAGCTGTAAAGGCGGCAGACTGGTGTTCAGTCAGCAACACCTGAGGACCTTACCTGGACACACAACCTGTCTGGTTAGGGAGGTTCAGAAGTCTTGCAACTCCTGTTAGGATCTGTTTTAAGGTGGAATGATGACATTCTGTAGCCTAGCAAGCCATCCAATACCCAATATATGCATACATTGAATGGAAAGGACCGATTAGGAAAACCCAGCTGTAGGGCTGAATCTACACGTAGGCCTGCTAGACCGACCTGCAGAGCAAAATCTTCTGCTACGATGGTAACGATATCTAGCTAAACATTCTGGTGCGTAAACAAAAGATTTGTGAAGGTACTGACCTGTGACAGAGAGCCAGCTGGATGGAGACTTTCCATGACCCCTGATCTCACACCTGTAGAGGCCCTCATCAGACCTGCTGACTCGCTGGAGGGTCATGTGACCTGTAGGCTGGCTCCCTATGATGACATCATCTCTATAGAAGTCAGCTGTGAGGCTGGAGGGAGGGGTCTTTGACTGACAGCTGAGAGTGACATCATGTCCCTCCATCACAGGGAGGACAGGACTCTGCAGGACCACTGGTCCACCTGAACACAGAGACACACTCCAGCCTTTCATCCATGTCCACACAGCTTCATCAGCACCACCTCCAGTCTGATCTTACCTGTGACAGTCAGGTTGATGCTGCTGCTGGATGCCCCGCCCACTCCCTCACACCAGTACACGCCTGTTTCCCAAGGGGTGACGTAGCTGATGGTGCAGGAGGAACCCTTTAGCAGCCCCCAGTCAGCTCCACACTGGGTCCTGGTTTCTTCGGTTGTGTTCCTCCTCAGGGTCCATCCTGTGGACATGGTGTCCTCACAGCTCAGAGATAGTAGGTCTCCTTCAAACAGCTGAGCCTGGTTCTTGCTGACAATCAGACGAGCTGCACAGAACAGGCAACAACAGCTTGGATTTCATCAGCTCAAGTACATGCTCATGGACATGGAGAACCTCCCAGGTCCTGGTCTGGAGCTGGACCCGCTTTAGGGACAAGGACTAAACTGGACTGGTTCCTGTAGGGTCAGCACCCTGGGGGACCTGACTATGAACCAGAGCTAAAGCAGCAAACTCAGAAGAGCCCAGCAGGAAGGAGAAGGGTCGAATATCTAAGGAGCACAGGTCTAAAGCAGCAGCCTCTGCAGCATCGCCACGGGGACACCTTCAGCTCCTGTGGAGGTTAAATAGAGAGACCTACTCACCCTGGCTGGGCGGTGAGCAGCTCAGCAGAGACATCAGGACTAAAGGAAATAAAACAAAGTTAGTAGAAACCAGAACACCAAACTCCAGAGTCCAGCCAGGAGACAACAGCTGATGGCGATGGACTTCTGAGCAGAGGAGCAGGTTCTAGGTTCTGCTGGACTCCTGGTGTCATCCACACAGAAGGATGGAGGTCACTCACAGAAGATCCAGGGCTGAGATGTGTCCTCCATCTTGCTGATGGACCCTCTGATGAGTTTATAGTTAGCCCCCCGCACACACACACAGAGGAGCTGCTGAAGTTCTGGTTTCCTGTTGCTCTAAAAGCCACACACAAACTTTGTTTCCTCTGAAACCAGCAGAGCAACAACACCTGACTTCTTCTCCGGTGTCTGTCCACGGATGACGGTGGTTTCTATAGAGCAAGAGTCCGTTTTGAGGTTTGGCTTTGCGGGTTGGTCTGGGAACCTCACGGTGAAGTCACAGGCTCAGATCTTCACTGTGATTATGACAATGGCCTCAGCTGCTCCCTTAACGCCGCAGGAGATGTTTGAGCAGACCGTCCCCAGACAGGTGAATACTCTAACCGACCCCTCTAGTAAACACAACTGTAAACATGTTCTTCAGTCTTATTCCTGAACCAGCGTGTTTTTGTTTGTAACCAGTGAAACTCTGCATGCTGACTTTGCGGTTAGGGTTATAAACAACCTGCTGAAACCACAGAGAACAGGAAGTGACTATCACCCATAATGCACCACTCAGGCGAAGCATCAAGCCTCATCTGGCTGCAGGAACTGCCACTGGCCCCTGCATGTGACCGTTAAACCAACTCCGCCTGAGCACTGAGGTTCAAGAGCTTCTTGTCCTCCTTAGGAGACTCGTTCTGTTAGACAGACGTGTGGCGCCCCCTCCTGGTCACTTCGTGTTAGTGGATTATTGAACACCGGTAATGGAGCTCACGCGTCAGCCTGCTGGATATCCTCACTCTACCCTTGGCCCATCACCGTAGTTAAAATGTGTCCCAGTCTTGCTGCCTGCCCTGTTTTCATTCACGTCCTCACCTTTCTGTAGCGGTTTGTTTTGATCTCCTCCTCTTTACACATTCCTGTCTTTTAGCCGACCAGTTTCCATTTGTGTTTTACTCTGTGCTGCTTTCCTACATCACACTTTATTCATTGCTCTAATTCTTCTGCTGTGGTCCTTTTAACTCCGTCTCATTTTGCTGGCTGTTGTATTCAGTCTTTTACGTCGCGGCGTCCCTGACGCGCGCTGCTAACACCTTGGCCAGCAGCTGTATGCAGATGTGCTTTATGAGTAGATGTGCTATCAGTGGCGGTTCTACATCGAATTACTCCCCGGGCGAGGCCCCCTTTGAGCGCCCCCCCCCCCCCCCCAACCGCCCCACCACCACCACAACCACACCACACCACCTGCATGAACACACGCATGTTTTCTACAAACAGGCATGTTTTATTAGAACGACTGTTGAACATTCATTTTTCTAAGTTGCACATATTTACATTAATTACTATGAAGTTGTCAGAATGTAAAGCACTATACATTATATACTGTATCAGAATATATAGAATCAAATATACAAAAACAAACAATAACTAAATATTAAGAATATATGAACATAATAGATAATAAATATTCTAAATAGCAAAAATATTTCACACATAACAAACTAAAGATAATCACTACAGCATTGCACTTAGAACAGAAAACACAAACTAAAATTAAAACCTAACCTTGATGCAACGTCATCAATAATGTCATCATATGAAATCTGCTCCCCTACTGAGTGATTGATACTAATCAGAGCCAGGTTAGTGAGCCGCCCCTGAAACATAGGTGACCTCAGGTATGACTTGATCAAGTTTTGAAAAGCTCCTCTCAGCTTGAGCCACAGTGACTGGCAGAGCAGTCCAAAAGTTGGGGTAGATCTCCAATAGATCTTCATCATGATCCATAATATTTTAGAATTGCCTCTGAAATTGTAATTTAAACTGACATAAAAAACTGTAGACTACCAAAAATGCCAACTTTTACAGAACAAATCATGTAAAAAATAATCCGTGCAGCCATCTGCAATAAATAAACAGGATAGTTAGTGGTGACTGGGGAGTTTTCTGCTTGTACAGTTGTTTTATTATTATGTGAACATGATCAACATGTGTTTGTTGTTGTTCAGGCAGGCCACAGGCTGCAGCGAGCATTTAACAAATCCTAGTTTGAATCAGTAAAAAACGATTCAAGGAATTTTTTCGAACCATTTGAATATTTGTTTCAATATTTCAGCCCTATTAGCTCTGTTAGCAATTAGTTGACCGCATTTAACCGTTAACTGTTCAAAACATTGAAAACATGCATCATGAGAGCTACATACCTTTATCTTTCTCCTCTTTTTTCTTTTTTTTTCCCCCCTGAATGGGGCACCTGGTGGTTTTAGCCTTTTTATGTTCATCTCTTCTGTTTGGCTCTTGACTCAGTAAGTTTCCTTTAGTCAGGACTAAACAATTTGACCTTGATGGGGGGGGGGGGGGGGGGTGACCACAAAATCGTTTTGTTTTTCCTTTTTTTATTCGGCCATTTCACACAATTCAGAGAAACCTGAAAGAAGGCCTGTGTTTATGATATTATGAATGAAATATGGAAGAACGTTAAGATGTGATTGACTTTAGCCATGTTAATACAGTTGATTCAGCCCCTACCCGCTCATTTCATTTGGGAAAGACGCAGAGGTGAATTCCCCCGCCGCGCCCCTCCCCTTCCTGTTCTTCATAGACACATGGTGCACGTGAACGTTCTCAGTCAGCAGGAGCGCCTGCAGCTGCAGGGGGCGCCAACTTGCTGTTTCCAATCCAGACACTGTCATATGACAGATAATAGAAAACCTTGGTGCGGTGCAGATTTCCTTTTTTTTCTTTTTTTTTTACTCCGCGCTTGTGCGCCCCTTTTGTGTCATGAAAAAATGCCGCCCCGGGCAACTGCCCGGTCTGCCCGTGCCTAAAACCGCTACTTTTCCTCCACCAGTGTTTACGGATCCCATCACATTAATGTAGTATTGTCCCAGACACTTGCACGCTCCATCCCCTCCGTGCTGTCATAGTGACCAGAGGTCTGCTTCACACCTAAAATCAACACGACGACATAAAACAGCTGATTTAATTAAAAATACACACATACAATTAGTTGTAAAAATAAAAGTTAAGGGTGAGCAGTGCAGAAGGCGCAGCATGAGAAACAATCAGTCAAAGACTGATGAATACATGAATGAATGATTAGGGGACAATGTGCATAAACATTTTACAATGTAAATGTACCCAATTACAGCCAAAAGGCTCATTTCCGTTGGTAGACCCCCTGCTGGTTGACACATAGTATAAAACAACATTTATAGTTATGAACATTTTAAAAACAATACAAGTAAAACAACATTACATAGAGTAACCCCCCCTCTCGTAAGAGATTTACATAAGTGGTGGTCTGCAAGAGTGGTCTAGTACTCATCCATCCACACCAGATGCTGGCGTAACAGGGACGTTTTTTTTGTTTTATCCCATGTGTCAGGAGGGAGACCTGACTGGCGCCCAACATCCATATTCACTTAGTCAATAAAGCAAAACCTGAAAACCGTTACACCGTGGTGGAACTTATGGTGTTTGATTCTTCACTGTTTCACACCAGAAGATTCTGGAAACAGATTTTTTTCTATGTAATATGTATAAGTTTTTGGAAGCATAATGTATAAATAAAAATAAGCTTTTCTATGAAGTTTCACAGGAAAAACGAGAGGTCATCAAACTGTGATATAGTATCAAATCACTAAGGACTTATAGAGAAACATGTTTCAAAAGGATAAGTCGTTTTTTAGGCATTTCCACCATTTGTAATATATTTTTGAAATATCTGTTAAAATGGTTATATAAGCATAATTTGGTAACCTTGAATAACATTTTTCAAGTTTAAAAAAAATCAGTCAGAAAATATTTTTCTGACATGGGCTTTTATTTTGAAAAACAGTGGTTAAAATGGTGATATAACTAGAATGTGGTAACTTTGAGTTCCATTTTTTAAGTCTTTTTAAACAATAAGTCAGAAATTAGGTTTCTGATATGGACTTTTATTTTGAAAAACAGTTGTTAAATTGGCGAGTAAAATATAATTCGGTAACTTTGGAATTCCTTCTTTTTATTTTTTTAAACAATCAGTCAGAAATGAAGTTTCTGAGATGGGCTTTTATTTTGAAAAACAGTAGTTAAAATGGCGATATAACTGTAATGTGGTAACTTTGAATTCCATTTCTAAGTTATTTTTAAACAATCAGTCAGAATTAAGTATCTGATATGGGCTTTTATTTTGAAGAGCAGTGGGCCGAGCTTTTACCGAAAAGCTGTGAATGCGTGCGCCAAGCAAAATCAAGTGAGGGCTCACTTTACCGTGAATCGGCAAGTGGAGGCTGGCTTTACCCCAGTCTGATACAAGCCTCGAAGCAGGGCTTTAAAGGAAGACATTTATACAAATTAAAGGGAAAGGTTGGAAGAATGGAAGTCATTCAAATGAGTAACAGAAATCAAGTAGTAATAACAAGGATGAGAATGGGACATACAGCTTTGAACAGTACGCTTTTTATTCTTGGACGGCATAATACCGGTATGCGTGACTGTGGACTTGATAGGGAAACAGTAGAACATGTATTATGTACTTGTAGAAAATATGTGGGGATAGGGATGGGTAACTTTGACATTTGAATCGATTCGGTACTAATTCCCGGTACCTAGGAATCGATACCGGTACTTAACGGTACCAATTTTCGATACTTTTGAGTGTTTATTATTATAATTCTCTTTTATAATTAAATATGTATTTTTCTCAATATATAACAATATTTGATAAATATCACGATAAATAACATTCAGCTGTTTGTATTTTAACATCGTCCTTGTAGTTTTATAAGCTGATAATTAAACTGAAGCAAACATTTTTACTGTGAATTAAATTTACTGTGATTTTTCTACTGGGAAGTTAGAATTTCCGAGGAGAAAGCGAACGCACCATTAGCTGATAACAATGGTGGCAATGGAAGCTAACATATCAAGCTAACGTTATCTTAAACAGTTTATTTAGCTGCTGGAGCAGATTAAAACGATGATTTAGATCATTGTCACTGGTTTCATCTTCACCCAATCGTCGCATTTAGTAAAGTGAAGCCAAACTTTAGAGCGTGTTCATGTTCTTCGTTTTTGTATTTGTTTGTAGCAAACGCTACTGGAATGCATAGATTGAGCTACGTAGCCAAGATGATTAATTATTGACCTGTTGTACATTCGTGATATGTTTACCGGTAAACCGGTGTCACAGGGGGATCTCGCACAGGGCGCCATTTAGGCCAGCTGAATTTTGTCTTAAATATAAGACAAGACTGTTACACTTGATGAAAGATAATGGTGAACTATTAGCAGGGGCGGAGCTTGATATGTGCAACATGTGCGGCCGAACAGGGCAGTCTGCAGGCATGGTGGCGCAGTGGTTAGCACTGTTGCCTCGCAACACGAAAGTCGCGGGTTCGAAACTCGGCTGCGGCCTTTCTGCGTGGAGTTGCGTGTTCTCCCCATGCATGCGTGGGTTTCCTCCGGGTGCTCCGGTTTCCCCCACAGATCACAACATGCCCTATAGGTTAAAAAAAAAAAAAAAATTGTAAGTCGCTTTGGGTAAAAGCGTCTGCTAAGCACGTAAACATAAACATATAACTTTAGCCCTCCTAAATCTGATTTTATAAAATTATTAATAGCACTTCCTAAAGAGGTGGTCTTCCAGTACAGAAACATTATTCAACACCAACCTATAAATCCACAGTATGGTTCTATCTCCATCCCTTATGGATAAAAAGTGTACCAACCAATTTATTAGACGGTGTTTTACTGATCAACTATACCCTTGTAAAGTCAACAAGAACATAATTTACAAATTTGGTAAAAGCTCCATTATTAAACTAAGGACTCTTTATTTAAAAGTTCCTGTTCAACCTAAAGTAAAAGAAACACATTTTTAATTTTTAAACAATGTCTATCCCTCAAAGGATCTGCTCAGAAAACGTTTTAACATTGATGATAACTCATGTTCCTTTTGTGGGAAGGATGTTGAAACAACTGATCATATTTTCTTTGAATGCAACAAGACACGGACGTTTTGGAACTGTTTTGAAAACTGGATTCAACCTCAGATTGGAATCCCATGTCCCATTTGAAGAGATGTCGTCACCTTAGGAACTCTCCTTCAAACAAACAACAAAGAACTCCGCTACAATCTACTTCTCTGTCTGGCAAAATTCTTCATACATGAACAAAAAATACTGAAATCACCCCCTGTGTTCAATGCATTTGTACATGATTATAGATTGTATCTAAGATCCCTTAAATGTATCAATAATAACAGCTATGAAGATATGTATAGACTTTTGTGTCACTCTTAAAAATGCTGGGTTATTTTTCTAACCCAACTGCTGGGTTAAGGCTGAATTTTTAGAGGTTGGGTCAATTTAACACATCATTGGGTTAAAAATTCTGACCCAGCGTATTGGGTTAAAAAAAGGCGGGAAATAGTAAGATCCTCCCCCTTGTCTGTGAGCCCGCTTCACCATTTTAAACCAGAGGATGACACGGACATTAATGGAGTTTCACACCATCAAGGATTTAAAATAAGGTAAGATGTTACTAATAAAGAGTTTAAAGATTCATTTCATTAAAACTGGACATGTAGATGATAAAGTAATGGATTTTTAGCCTGTCTGTTCAAGACAACCTACTCATAGTTTAGATTAGGTAGCTGGCTACTTACCTTCCTAGCATCGATATATATATATATATATTTTAGATAGAATGTAACAGAATCCGCAGCACAAGGGCTCTGGAAAATGTTGTGATCTTCTGTCCACACTCCCTGACATAGTGAGGCTCTACTGGGGGACGTTAGGCCTTCTGGCTATTTTATACCAGTGGTAGCGTCCCCGCTAACGGCAGAGGGCCTTTATGCTACAGTCATGTGAATAATGTAACACATTTCAATTTTACAGACAAATGGGTGGATGTGGCTTTGTTGCTGCTGCCAGTGCTTCTCCAAACTGCACCATACAAGTTGAAGGAGAGCGTTCCGACCAAGCAGAGGTTCAGCAGGCCTTCACTGACTTCCAACCTGTAAGTTCTGTTATTTTTTCCTTCAGTTATCATTCACAGCCCACTCCAAATATGTTTCAACAGCTGTTTGTGAAATCATAACCTTTATGCCTAAATCTGTTCTTTTTTTCCTCTATCCCCCTCAACTTAGACTGGAACCAGTCTGGTGAAGAACCTGAATGGGACCACAGTGGAGCACCACATGTCCTTATGGCTGCAGAAGACCATCGATGTTCCCAAGAATTTTTGATCGTCAATGGAACTGGAATACCCATCTGTTCTTAGACATTTTTTGTGTGGATGACAACCATCCAAAACCACGTGCACAGATTTGGGGGTTTATTCAGACATTTATCTTTGTTGTGTTACCTGGTCTCCTTAGGTCTTCTGTAGGTTTTCTACTAGGGACACAGCTGTTTAGGTCCAGCGAACTTTTACTTCCAGCCTCAACTCTTTAACCTCAACAGTAACACGTGACACTAGTGCCCCCTAGTGATCACCGTCATAACAGCATGTACATTACAGTACAATACACCACATCCCTCTTTTCCAGAATGAACTTGCTTAGAATAACTTCAGTTTATAACCATTCATTAACTTCTTTAAGCATTAACTCACATGTGTATTTTCTGCAGTCATTATGTTCCATTTAAGTATTTCAACAAACATCAAAACATTACATTCTCTTATTAACTGCATTTTACTAGTTCACTTCCTATAATTCCTCTCAGTTGACTTTTTTTTTCCTTTATTTTTTTTAATAACATAACTAAGCAAACTTGCAGAACATATTTCTGATAAATGTCCGCTCACTCGTCAAACCTGGCAGGACGCCTAACTGCCCGTCCACTGCGTGTATAACAAGTTGGCAAACGTTCTCCAGCTGCAGGAGGAGGGACATCTTGTTCCCTAGGTGGCTCATCAGGGAAATGTTCTTCTGGGTCAGACTGTTCATCCTCAGGAACCTCCTTGAACAAACTGGGGTGGATATTCCTCAAGTGTCTCCTGTTTCTCCTGAGCATCTTTCCTTCTGGGGTTTGAACCATGTAGGATCTCGGTTCCTTCCTTTGGTGGACAACAACTGCTGATTCCCATCCCCGCTGTGTGTGCATGTGCACTGTGTCACCTAAGATGGCTTTGTCCGCTTACCTGGACACAAGGAAGTCGAGCACAGCACTACCTTTGCTAGTTACACATTCAAGAGACACAATACCTTCAGCACGTATACGAGCTCCACCAAAAGCTATCAGCACAGTCTTTGTAGATCGAAGCTGAACAGGACCTGGTATTTTGTGGTAAACCTGCATGGGAAGCACATTTGCATCAGCACCTGTGTCTAGCTTGAAAACGATTGGCACTTTCCTTATTGTGACTGTTTCTTTCCAACAATTTGTCTCATTTTTGTCACTGCTCACCACACCTATGTACAGGGTGTCCGTGTCAGCTTCCAAGTTATTCACCATCTTTGTTTTTGTGTATGGCTTGTCCTTGTCAATGTTAGATCTGCACAACTTTGAGAAGTGATTTTTTTTCTTGCACTTGTGGCATGTTTCTCCATACGCCGGACATTTTCTTGGTTCATGTTTAATTCCGCACTTGGTACAAACTGTCCGTTTGTTGCTGGCTTTAATTCTACCTTGTCCTGGTCTTAGGTTATGGGGGGTTTTCTTCAACGTGTCCACTGAAGCGTCCTGGACTACTGGGTTCAATTGCATTGCTTGGATCTGTGTCTTTGCTGCTTCCGCTGACCTGCAGATTTCAATGGCTTTGTTCAGAGTAAGGTCTTTGTCGCGAAGCAGTCTCTCTTTCAGACGTGAGTCATTTATGCTGAACACCAGCTTATCTCTGATCATATCATCTACATTTGGACCAAACTCACAGTCCTTGCTTTTTTGACGCAGTTCAGTAATGTACCTGTCCACCACAATTCCTGGTGACATTGGGTATGACCAGAATTGATGACGTTCAAAAACCACATTCTTCTGCGGGCTACAGTATGTTTTGAATGCTTTCAGGACCTCCTCCACTGTGAGTGCATCTCCGGCTGGGGTAATGTTGAGTGTGTTGTACACTTCTAAGGCCTCCTCGCCAATAGTGTGAAGAAGAATGGCTATTTTTACCTCTTCCTCCTTTTCTGATGCTCCAGTAGCTATCATGTAGAGCTGGAACCTCTGTTCCCACCTGCGCCATGCCTCAGATAGATTGCCGACGAGACTGAGTGGAGACGGCGGCCTAAACTGCTCCATTTTATCTTCTTGGTAGCAGACGTTAGCCCCGATGCTAATTCACCTAGCTTACTCAAACCGTTGTCTCTGTTCTCTTGGCAGCCAAACTTCTGACACCATGTTGTGTTACCTGGTCTCCTTAGGTCTTCTACTAGGTAATTAAACACTGAGACACAGCTGTTTAGGTCCAGCGAACTTTTACTTCCAGGCTCCAGCCTCAACTCTTTAACCCTCAACAGTAACACGTGACACTAGTGCCCCCTAGTGATCACCGTCATAACAGCATGTACATTACAGTACAATACGCCACAATCTTTGCATCATGAATCTAATGCTGTGAAGCTTTGAGGGCTCATGTTGCTATGATGTAAGGTTGATTTTCTGCTGACTACAGCATTAAGGTGAGTGTTGGGTGTTGATGGACATTTACTTCACTACAGTTCTTCCATTAAAATTGTTTAACATGTTTAAGACATTACAAGTTACGAAATGTTTAATATTTGTCGTTAAAAAATGCAATTAGTAGTCATTTACAAAACAAGTTTGAATATGAATGCATGTTTAGAGAAAGTAGAAAATGCAGCTTTATTTGTTATCTTTGTATTTTGAAAATTAACATAATTTTTGTGATAAAGAATTGACTGAGACATGTTCATTTTGTTTTATTGAATTATTCAATTTGTATTTTATTTATTGTCTTTACTGTAGAGTTGGGTCATTTTAACCCAAGGTTTAGTAATTTAATAACCCAGAAGTTGGGTTTTATTTTTAACCCAGTTTTGGGTAGTCCCAACTATACAGTTGGGTCATTTTAACCCATTGATTGGGTAGAAAGCATAACCCAACAAGCTGGGTCAAACTCATAACCCAACCCTGCTTGGTTAAAATAACCCAGCACTGGGTCGGTCCATTGGGTTGTTTTGTAACCCAGCAGTTTTAAGTGTGTACACAGTTCCGGAAAGTCTACACAGTGGCATTTCTTTATTAGCACGTGACTGGGGTGGAACTTGCTATACTTTCAGTCAGGGGTAGGAGGAGTAAGCAACACTGTCTGCACACGCCGGGAGCCTCACTGCATACTTCTGGCTCGCGTCAGAACGGAGCGGAGTTTGATTGAATCAGTTCACTGCTGACGGTGTCCATCAACTAAACCAGCAGATTACTAAACTGACTGATCTGACGGCAGACAGCTAACGGGCTCTGCACCGGAGCCGGTAGGTATGTACCGGCATTCCTGTTGCTGGCGGACCGGGATCTCGCAGCAGCTTCTCCTCATGCTGCCCCGGAGGCTCGCTGTGGGCTCTGCGCTCTTCTTGGCTGTGTCCATGGTCTTTGCTGCCAGTCCTGAAGGTGAGTTTAGCCTTTTACTGAGATAAATGGGTGTCATGAAAGGCGCTTTTACATAAAACGTGTTATTATTATTATTATTATTATTATTATTATTATTATTAGTGTTTAAGTATAACGGCGTTCTATTTTAGGTAACGGAATAATCTAATTAATTACTTTTCCCACTGTTGCGACGCCGTTACCGTTACTGGGGATGGAAGGTTGTGCGTTACTATGTGCTTGTTGAACGTTGAGCAGCAGCGTGAAGTTTTCTAACAGCCAGGGAGAGAGAGGTGTCGGTAACGCACTCAAACACGATGATGATTGGCCGGCTGGACGGAGACCCTCACCGTCTCAGTCGCTGCCTGCTGTAGACCCAACGAGCAGTGATGGGAATAACGCCGTTAAAAATAACCACGTGATGTTAATAAAAAATAATTCTTTCTGTAACGAGCAAACTAATTAATTACCGTCTTCTTTTAACAAATCGTTTCTGCTACTGATAGGGAAATGCGTGCGTTAAGCAGCGCGGTGTGTTGAAGCTGTCATCAGCTGATCAGGAGCTAAAGAGGCAGATGTTTCCAAGTGCATAAAGAATGAGGAAGACGTGATGAATACTCTACGGCTGCAGGTGTGGATCTGCAGCCGCGCCCTTCTTAGCGTGACAGCGGGACGTCCCGAAGGTCCGCTCACCTGTTCACCGCTCAGACGTCCTGATCTTCTACCTTCCTCTTCTAGTGTCATTGTAAAGGATTTTATTTATTTATTTAGCCGTTACTAGATTACCAGCAACAGAAATGCTGCTAAAAACACACAATTATGTGAATCTGGAAAAATTAAAATACTGTGCAAAATTACATTCTTTTCTGTAATTTAACTAGAATGAGAGACCATTTAAAGGCTCAAGAACCTTTACAGGTGTTTCTATTTGCAATTTTAAATTTGAGCTGATTGGGGTCTTGTTAAATATCACACAGTGACCTTTCAATAGTCTAGATTAGTGTAATGTTCCTGTTAGTAGTTCCTACTGTTAAGTGCTTATTTATTTAAATTATTCAATTCAAGTTTATTTATATAGCGCCAAATCACAACAAGAGTCGTCTCAAGGCACTTCACATAATAAACATTCCAATTCACAGTTCATTAAGTCAATCAGAAATGTTTCCTATATGAGGAACCCAGCAAATTGCATCAAGTCACTGGCTAGTGTCAGTGACTATACAGCAATCCTCATACTAAGCAAGCATGCAGCGACAGTGGAGAGGAAAACTCCCTTTTAACAGGAAGAAACCTCCAGAGAATCCTGGCTCAGTATAAGCAGCCATCCTCCACGACTCACTGGGGATCGAGAAGACAGAGCACACACACACACACACACACACACACACACACACACACACACACACACACACACACACACACACACACACACACACACACACACACACACACACACACACACACACACACACACACACACACACACACACACACACACACACACACACACACACACACACACACACACACACACACGTAATGTGTCTATAGTTACATTGTGATTGCTTAGTAAATATTCTATTTGGTGAGAGATAAACTTTATTGTATTTATCCTAGTGGATCTATAATTAAACGGGTAAACTAGTAGTAGCACATCAAAAATCAAGGAAAGCATAAAGTTGTTATCAGGAGAGGGAGAATGTTTAAGTGGTTAGCAGCAGCGTGCTAGTCGATGGCCCCCTCCATGAGGCCACCACAGCTCAGCAGAACGTCGTTGTAGCTTCTTCTGGGGAGAAAAAACTTACAGAGAAAATAAAGTTAACAGCTGAAATTGCAGGAAATAATACAGTTAAAGAGCAGACTGTAGAATAAAGCAGTAGAGTGTGGAAAGTGGTCAGTGTGTCCTCCAGCAATCTAAGCCTATAGCAGCATAACTACAGAGATAACTCTGGATAATCTATCCTATTTAGATGGAGGCATGTTGGAGTCAGGGCAAGGGAGAGCCGTCTTTACCGACTGTACACTCCACCTCCCTCTACTCCCCCACTTGTCCTGATTTAGGCTAACATCAGATTATATTTATCTGAAACATGGTTAAATGAAGAAAAGGGTCCAGATTTTGATATGGTAGGGTACCATTTGTTTTATACAAACAGAGGAAAGAAACAAGGTGGAGGGGTTGCACTGTACGTCAAAAGTGCCTTGAAGTGTAAAATACTGGACTTCCATGGCAGTAGCTGTTGAAATAGAAATGGAAAAAACTAGAAACATTATAGTAGCCTGTATATATAGAACACCTGGCTCCAATTTACAATGTTTTAATGAAAGATGTGAAGCTCTCATAGATGGATTAAATGACAACAAATCCTGGTTAATATGTGGAGATTTCAATATTGATTTAGTTAACCAGAGAAACAAAATGACTAGAGACTTTACGGATGTGATGTCCAGCAGGAGTTTATATCCTGTGATCACTCAGCCTACTAGAATCACCAGCACCTGTGCTCCATTAATAGACAATATTTATACGAATGAAACTGAGAAGACAGCTAACAGTGGTCTCCTAATTAGTGATATAAGTGATCATCTACCAATATTCATAATACATAAAAATGTATTCAAAAAACCTAAGGAGTTAGATCAGATAAAACATGTTAGAATAAGGACAGAGGACGCGATAACAGCATTTAGTAATGACTTGTTGAAGGAGAACTGGAGTGGGGTTTATGTGAAGGATGTGAACGTGGCATATGATACGTTCTTAAAAACATATAAATCTTTATATGATAAGAACTGCCCTGTAGTTGTCCGTAGAAAAAAGAGAATTATGAATGTAGAACCGTGGCTAACTAGTGGATTACTAAAATCTTGTAAAAGGAAAAACAAATGATACAGAGATTTTGTCAGGTACCGAACCAAAGCCACAGAAATGAAGTACAAAATATACAAAAATAAATTGACATCATTAATAAGACAAGCAAAAAAAGATCATTATAATTTAAGGCTGAAGGAAAGCATAGGTATGAAAAGAACACGGAGAATTCTGAATAGTGTCATAAGATCCAGGTCTCAGCATGCCCGTTATCCAGATTTCTTTACTAACGGAGATAAGAGCTGGAGGGATAAAGCTGAGGTGGTAAATGAACTTAATTCATTTTTGTAAACATAGGACCAAGTTTGGCCAAATCTCTGGAAACAAACTAATGAAGCTGGGAAAATACAAGGAGGGAGCAAAATTTTACAGTCCATGTTTTTAGGGGATGTAAGTGAAAATGAAGTTTTGACGATAGTTAGGAAAACTAAAAATAAAACATCCACAGACTAACATGATGATTGTTAGATTGTTAGTAGGTAGATATCAGGGAGGGAGTTAAAGGGTGTCTTCCTGGGGTGTCGGTAAGAACACAGGTTCAGGCTTTATTTCAACTTGGCCTCTTATTCTCTGGTGAAAAGTAGTAGCAACAGCAATGCACAGGGGCACGCAGAACAATGATGCAGGGCTGAGCAATGAGTATTCTACTCTTTAACATAAACAGGGATGTTGGTAGGTGAGTGTGTGGTCTAAAGGAAAGAATAATACAGGAAGAACAGATTAACATAAAACATATTCTGCCCCATTTGTTCAAATACAACCACATAGTAGGAGAAAAACCCTCTAAACAGAAAATAATGTCAGCAGGTCCAGATCACCTTGGTCTAAACAACCCAGTCTACATGGCCACACAAGCTAAAACCCCTCTGGGTAAACTGCCTGGCAGACATGTTACAAGGAGGACCTCTAGTGGCCATTTGAGGGATTTACCAACACTCAAATATTCTGAGATTCTAAACCAGATTACCCACTTTTACAGCTATAAACCACCTCACATCCAACACTGCAACCTACACACATGCATAAAATAGGCAACAGGGACCTACACTCATACAATAAGGCAGTGCAGATTCATGACAGAACTATCAAGCATAACTATGACGAGAACATTCCAGAACACCACGAGGTAAACAAACTTATTCCTAACACATTATGTAAGCAGGTCCAGTAAACAAAGGACTACTTACTTAGCAGTCATTCACGCACACAAAAGTGACTTAACCTGGGAACTAGCTTAGTAAAACTCTCCACTCTGCTGTCTCATGTGCTTCTCCGCCTGCTCAGCTCGGTAGCGTCCTCTGCACTGTCGTCAGCTCTGCTCTGAGAGAGTGAGAGCGCAAGTGTGCCACCTGGTGGCCTTTCCTACAATGATTGTAAAGAAAACTTTATTATGTTGTTAAACCATTCACTTATATCTGTAATTTGTCTGTTCAGAGTGGTACATTTCCAGAAAAAATGAAAACTGCAAAAGTAATTCCAATATTTAAAAATGGTGATAGACATAATCTTGATAATTATAGACCAATCTCAGTGCTTTCCCAGTTTTCTAAAGTGCTTGAGAAATGGTTTGTTCAGAAACTAGATAACTTTATTGAGAAGGAAAACCTCCTGAGTGAGAGTCAGTATGGGTTTCGATCACATAAATCTACATCCCTGGCTTTATTGGAATTAAATGAAGAACTTTCATCAGCAATAGAAAAAAAACAATATACAGTGGGGTTGTTTATTGATTTAAAAAAGGCATTCGACACAATAGATCACAGTATTTTACTCTCCAAGCTGAGGGATTATGGGATACGTGGAATCGCCCATGACTGGTTAAGTAGTTATTTGACCAATAGAAATCAATTTGTACAGTTAGATGATGTAATTTCAGATTCACTAGAGATTACACACGGTGTCCCACAGGGATCAGTGTTGGGCCCTAAGCTTTTTATTCTATATATAAATGACATTTGTGATGTGTCCAAAGTATTACAGTTCATATTGTTTGCTGATGACACGAATATATTTTGTTCTGGAAATGATTTTGAAATTATTATTCAAAATATGGTTTGTGAAATGACTAAACTTAAGAAGTGGTATAATGACAATAAATTATTTCTCAATTGGAATAAAACAAAATTCATGGTTTTTGGTAACAGAAAAACTAATGATTTAGTTACGTTGTCTATTGATGATTTTTTAATTGATAGAGTAAATGAAGTCCGATTCTTTGGGGTTCTCTTGGACCATAAACTTACTTGGAAATCCCATATAAAATATATGAAACAAAAAATACCCAAAAGTATTGGAATTTTAAACCAAGTCAAAGGTTTTCTAGAAATTTCAACGCTTCAGACACTATATTATTCATTTATCTTACCATACTTAACTTATTGTATTGAGGTTTGGGGCAATACGTATAAAACAAACACTATTCCTTTGTTTCTGTTACAGAAGAAAGTTTTGCGAATTCTAAGCAAATCCGAGAGAACATACTAACAAATATTTTGTTCTATCTAAAATTATGAAATTCAAAGACTTAGTTAAATTGAAAATTTTACTAATTATGTTTAAGGCTAGAAATAATTTGCTGCCAACTAATCTACAAAGGTTCTTTGTTTTAATCCCAAAAAATGATAAGAGTAGAAAGAAACCATTCTGAGTTTAAAAGGATATTTGTTCGTACTACATTAAAGCAAATGTGTATTTCAATATATGGTGTGAAATTATGGAATAACCTGGATGATGAATTTAAAAAAATGTACAACTACTGATCAATTCAAAAAAATGTATAAAGATAAAATGCTAAAATCGTATGATTTGGTGAGTTGAGGATGGAGGATTAATGTTTTAGTAGTGATATTATTTGTGGAAGTAAGAGAGCGGTTTATTTTTTGTGTATAAGGCTATTTTGTACTTTTTGTTATTTATCTTGTCTTAGTTAAAGGGGGGTAGGTCATAAAAGATTTTTTCTTCTTCCTCCCCCTATGTCACTTGAATGCTTATATTCTGATTTGAAGTTTGTATATTTAAACTTTGAGTGAAATAAATTATTGAATTGAATTATTGAATTGAATTGAATTATAACCATAGGCCCTATCAAATAAAAATGTTTTAAGCCTATTCTTAAATGTAGACAAAGTGTCTGCCTCACGGACTAAAGCTGGGAGCTGGTTCCACACGAGAGGAGCCTGATAACTAAAAGATCTGCCTCCCATCCTAATTTTAGATATTCTGGGAACCACCAGTAGACCTGCAGTCTGAGAGCGAAGTGCACTGTTAGGAACGTATGGAACAATCAGGTCACTGATGTATGATGGAGCTTGATTATTAAGAGCTTTATATGTGAGAAGAAGGATCTTAAAATCTATTCTGAATTTAACAGGTAGCCAATGTAGGGAAGCTAAGACAGGAGAGATATGATCTCTCTTTTTAATTATCATCAGAACTCTAGCTGCAGCATTTTGGACAAGCTGAAGACTTTTAACTACATTCTGTGGACTTCCTGAGAGTAATGAATTACAGTAATCCAGTCTTGATGTAATAAATGCATGAACTAGTTTTTCAGCATCACTCCTGGAAAGGATGCTTCTAATCTTAGCAATATTCCGAAGGTGGAAAAAGGAAATCCTGCAAACCTGTTAAACCTGGGATTTGAATGACATGTCCTGGTCAAAGATAACACCAAGGTTCCTTACTTTGTTCTCGGAGATTAATGTAATGCCATTCAGGTCAGGTGATTGACTAAGCAATTTCCTTTTCTGGATTTCTGGTCCAAAGACGAGAACTTCCGTCTTGTCTTGATTTAAAAGCAAAAAGTTTAGAGTCATCCAATTTTTTATGTCCTCAAGACAAGCCTGTAATCTACCCAACCGATTAGGTTCATCAGGGTTGATGGATAAATATAACGGAGTATCGTCAGCATAACAGTGGATGTTTATCCCATGCTGTCTAATGATTTTACCAATTGGGAGCATATACATATTAAAAAGAATTGGTCCAAGCACTGAACCCTGTGGTACTCCGCAAGTAACCCTGGAGTATGAAGACGATTTGTCATGTACATTTACAAAATGAAATCTGTCAGACAGGTAGGATTTAGGTGCTTATTTATTTAAATTATTCAGGTTTATAAAAACATTTGGACATACATTTTATTATGTTCCTGTCATTACTCATTTATATTTCACTATTGTAGTAATTCTTGCATGCTTTAATGAAAAAAGTAACTAAGTAGTTATTTTTCTTGGTAATTAGTTACTTTTATAATCTTGTAACTCAGTTAGTAACTGAGTTACTTTTTTGACAAAGTAATCAGTAACTATAACAAATTACTTTTTAAAAGTAACGTTCCCAACACTGGAAATGAATGAGTGAATGTTGACGGGTTAAACCTAAAGAATAAACCAGATTTCTCCCTGCTGCAGCGACAGCCCACAACAGTGTTTATTGTAATTACAACATCCTAATGTCGCAGTTAGATGTGGTTATTCGTTTTCATTTGTTTGATTTAACCGTGGAAATATTTGATTTATTTTCTTTGATGATTTGGCGCCACCTGTGCGGCGCTTGTTTAATGGTCACGCGACTATTTCATTTAGCAGCAAACCGGTTTCCCTTGTTAAGTGCAGCCACCAACAGAACAGCTGTTTTGTGGATTTTTTTGTATTTTTATTTTTTTTTAGAAAATAAGAACTTAGCGCCACTCTGTCCTGTTTTGCAAATGTTTTTTTTTTTTTTGTTTCATTGATTAAAAACTGCAAAACGTAAGAAGTGAACTTATAGATCTTGTTGCATTTATCACACTGTGGGACTTCATGTCTATGGCTCTAAAGCATTGAGGTTATCTTATTACAGCAGAGTACATAGGATACACATGTGTGCCTTACCTAGGTATGAAATATAATAAAACTGCCCTGTTTTACCCAGCTGTGTGCAGCAGGTCTGTCCTCTAGAATTATGAAAACTGCTGAAAAATAGGTCTAAATCATAATCGGCTTAGAATTAATTTTAATGAAATATACAGATTTAAACACATGAAAGATGTGTCCTCACTTCCATCCTGCTTGCCTAACAGCCTCAGCCTATGAAAGTATACCAAACTGTTATCAAAAGGCATGATCATGAAAATGCACCACACCGATTACAGAACACCTCTGTGTCTGTCTGTCTGTTTCTTTCTTTCTTTCTTTCTTTCTTTCTTTCTTTCTTTCTTTCTTTCTTTCTTTCTTTCTTTCTTTCTTTCTTTCTTTCTTTCTTTCTTAGTTTGTTTCTTTGTTTGTTTGTTTGTTTGTACCCTTGTGAAGACCGGATTTGGGATATTTACTAACCTTCTTACGACTGATGGTCCTTGTTAGGACCAAAACCCGGTCCTAATACGGAGTACTCCCTAGGGATGAGGTTTACAGATAAGATGTGAAATGAGTTTTTGTTACAGATAACTTTAGGAATACACTGGTTAGGGTAAGGGTTTGGGTTAGGCATAGTGTACTCAATAAAATGAATGGAAGTCAATACAAAGTCCTAACATGGGTACAAATACAAGAGTGTGTGTGTGTGTGTGTGTGTGTGTGTGTGTGTGTGTGTGTGTGTGTGTGTGTGTGTGTGTGTGTGTGTGTGTGTGTGTGAATAAGTATATTGAACTGGCAGCTATGTCTTTCTATATTTATCTGAATGTGCATTAATGTCTGAGTTATAATTTTATGTTACTAAAATAACCACATCTAACTGCGACAGCTACATTGTTCGTTTGAGCGCAGGAAACACCTGGCATCTATTAAAGCTTGTTTTAAGACCCACACCTGTCAGATATGGGAACAAATCAGGGCACGACACCTGCTGGGCTAACCAGTCCGTGTTAGCTCACCTGTAGCTAGCTGCTAATAGCTGACATGTTCACCTGTAGCTAGCTGCTAGCTCACCTGTAGCTAGCTGCTAATAGCTGACATGTTCACCTGTAGCTAGCTGCTAGCTCACCTGTAGCTAGCTGCTAGTAGCTGACATGTTCACCTGTAGCTAGCTGCTAGTAGCTGACATGTTCACCTGTAGCTAGCTGTGTTGGGTAGATAACCCGGAAGGGGAGGACTGTAAGGTGTTGATTCCGGTTTGCAGCTGCCACTCCCCGGAGTGTCGGCCAGAACACTACTCTAGGCCCGGATGGCGATTCAGGAAGAAGACACCAAAGACACCCAGGATGGTTTAAACGCTTGTATTGCCTCCACACAGTCAAAGGTAACAGGCTTGTTGGAGGAGCAGGTGTTACATAAAAGTTTAGGTACAGGTGTGTGTGTGGTCTGTTGCTCAGTAATGCACACTTCTCACGAAATGACCACTTCTCTTCTGGTAATCGGAGCGAACACACTCATATAGGCTGTGTCTCAATTCAGGGTCTGCATCCTTCGAAGGACCCAGCCCACCCGGCCGACGTGGGCTGGGTCCTCCGTCGGCCGGGTAGACCGGATGTTAACGGCTGTGAATTTGGACAGGCCTAGCCTTCATGAACTCCCTCGGCGAACGTTCCGTCGCCTAGCAACCGTGGAACCGCTGGGCAGAAGGAACCTTAAACGATGGAGCTCGACGTTTTATTTAGCTTTTTAACCCCCAGAAACCCAAATTTAGAAAACAACTGCAAAATATTTTTTAACCTTTCACATGTTGTTCTAGGAGGCCAGATAAACGGGCCTATTTACACATTTTAACAGCCAATAGTGTTGCAGAACTGAATAAGACCTATTAGCAATGTAAATGTGGTTTTAAAAAGAAAAAAAATGGGGAAGGTTTATTTTTGTAGACTTAAATCTGATGTTGTAATACTACAACCGTGGGTCTCTGGGGGTTAATCATTTCCTTGACTGTTGGAGAGCTAATTCAGAGAAAATACTTTAGACAAGCTGAGCCTGAGCAAAGATGTGATAATAGTTTTTAATACTTTCTAAGGGTCTTACTTTGACCAAAACCGATTTATCACCTTTTAAGACTTTTCAAGACCCAGCGGATACCCTCTAGTAAACAATTCTCATTTGTAAACAAAAATAAAATTCAAGAGTTTAATGCAGAACTGATTTTATTTAGATATTTCTTTTACATGTACATGTTTAATCTTCATTAACCATTTTTTTCTAGCAAAGTAAAAAGCTGTCAAAGTTCTTCCTTCTCTCCTGTGCTCTCTGCTGCTCTGCAGCCTCATGTCCTCCCAGATCAGCTCCAGAAGCTCATCGCTGGCACCTTCCCCTGGATGCCCATTTTCTCCAGAATAGTCTTAGCAAACATGTAAGAAAAGAAACAGGAAGAGAAAAGAGGACAACGGGTTATTCCTTTCATGTTTTCGCAGAAAAAAATATACTCAAACGAGTTTTTAAAATATGAGATGTTATTGTACCTCCATGCCGCAGCCGCCGAATACTTTGATCCGGTGATCATGTGGTCCATCTCCGCCCTAAGCTTAATAAATTCCCTGGTTTTCTCTTTTGGTCCTAAAATGCAAACTTCTATTAAAATCAGGGGGAAACGTAGTGGGAGAAGTACGACACCGAGCGCGGCCGAACATACGAGCCGAGACCGCAATACAAGCACTTTTACTGTAACATTTCTAACTAAAATAACGTTCATGTATCACAAAAAGTCCTTAAACTGACAGTATTCAAGTTTATACTTACATGTATATGCGCAATCCTCTCCGACAGCTCCCGCTTCACTGTCCGCCATTGTTTTTAAGTTTTTCTGCCGGCCGGCCCGCAAGGCATCTTGGGAAATGCTACCTATTGAAGGATACACCCGACCCATCCTTCATTCAGGCGAAAAGAAGGCCGCATTCGTCGACCGCATTTGAAGGAGTCTTCGAATTGGGACAGGCCGAGTCGCGGCGCTGTGACGTAACCGGCCGACGAATCCGGCCGAGGTAGGATGCAGACCCTGAATTGAGACACAGCCATAGATCTCACCCACGTATCCACCTGTCCAAAACCTCTCCCATCCAAAGTGGTGGGGTGACCTCTACAGGTCACTCTAAGCAACTACAAGTGAACAACTGAACAGAATAGAAAGGAGAACTCAAAACTATGGGGCCTTTTGCACAAGCTGCTAGTAGCTGACATGTTCACCTGTAGCTAGCTGCTAGTAGCTGACATGTTCACCTGTAGCTAGCTGCTAGTAGCTGACATGTTCACCTGTAGCTAGCTGCTAGTAGCTGACATGTTCACCTGTAGCTAGCTGCTAGTAGCTGACATGTTCACCTGTAGCTAGCTGCTAGTAGCTGACATGTTCACCTGTAGCTAGCTGCTAGTAGCTGACATGTGCATGTGTGACTTTACTGCTATGTTTCTGTTTAATTAATAAAGTAAACACATTTCTGTTTGGATTTGAGCTTTATTGTGTATTTGGGCAAAAACGTTGGTTTATGGATAAAGAGCACACACACACACGCACGCACGCACGTACACACACACACACACACACACATGCATATGCAGCTCTGAGCCTAAACTCTTCCTCTGCTGCCACTCCGCACCTGTTAATCATTTCATCAGGACACAAAAAGACTAAATGTTTGCAACACGGCTCTTTTATCGGTGAAAAGCCACCTTTTGTTCTCCTTCACACCACAGGTTTGCTGTTTGTTTCAGAGCCAGAGGAGATCCAGGCAGAAGAAGGAATGGATGTTCTCCTGAAGTACATGAAGCCCCAGAACACCAACATTTCTATGTGGAAGTGGGCCAAGGTCCACCTGGATGGACAGCAGTACCTGTGGTTCTACAGTGATGGACGCTTATATCCGTACCAGAGTGGACAGTTTAGGGGCCGAGTGAGGCCAGCTGATCCTCAGATGAGGCTCGGAAACTTGTCCATCATCCTGTCCAACACCACGGTCAACGACACCGGCATCTATAATGTGGTTATTAAACTTTCTACTGAACCAGGGAACCAAACCACACAGCGTCACCTGGTTAATGTGACGATCGTTCCTACAGGTGAGTCTTTCCTCTGGAACACTGTTAGAATAAATAAATAATAAGGAAGCTGCTGCAGGTAAAATAGAAAATGAAATGATTATTTATCAGGTTTTAATGATCAGTTTCAACCTGAGGCAGAAGTTCAGTAGGAACTCTGTTATAGCTGCAGCTTCTCTTTGTTATCATGGTTGTTGTTGTTGTTGTTTTATAAACGAGCGTCGACTCCCCGCAGCCTCTACACAAACTTGACCAAATAACACTTGAGTGTCATGTTTCTGTCGTTTCCGATGAAGATCAAAGAAAAAACCAGATGTTTCTGTTCTACAGGTCACATGGGTGGAGGAGCCAAGTGTGGAGTAGACATCTTTTTTCTTAAAGTGATTCTTCTCCCTCTTGGGATAGTCTTGGTCTTGGTGGTTATTGCTATCAAAACATTATTGAAAAAAACAAAACATTTTGTGTCCGAGAGCAGCTCCGCCCCTCCCCAGTTCCAGTGTTACTGACGGGTCTGACGCTGTCATGACGACATCAGCTGATGCAGGTCTACGGCTCGTCCCTAGGGACATGTCCTCTCCTGCTGCGCTCCAGTCACCAGAACTTTCTGTCTCCTGGTTGCCATGACGCTGGTGACTGGATCATGAATGGTGGAGACACTGACTGTCTGACGTGTGGGTTGGGCATCGAGCATCGTTGGAACCGGGACTATCTCAGGTTTTCCAGAATCCTTCTGGTCTTTTCCATTCCTAGCTTTCATTTCCAGGCTGCCGACCGGAAGAAGGGTCGGCGGGCAACCTCTGCACATTGTGATTGTAATGATTTAAATGACATGTCCTGGAACCGCTGGAGGAGATAATGCAAAGAAGGATTCTCCAGAGAATCAAGAAAATGATGGACAACCTGAGCGTTCTCTTCACAAGACTGTCCGACAACGGAAGAGTGTCTTCAGTCAGAGGCTTCTTCAGTTTGGCTGCAACACTGACCGCTACTGGAGATCCTTCCTGCCAACAGCCGTTGTAATATACAACAACTCTTTGATGACTTGATTATTATTATTATTATGAGCTACTACAGCAATCAATTTCCCTCTGGGATCAATAAAGTATTTTTGAATTGGATTGAGTTGAATGTTATTTAATAAGCCGTAAGACAAAAGATTCCATAGTAAATATGAAATCCACCTTATGGATCTGTGAGGTTATTTTAAACCAGAAGATTGGAACTTTTTATTGCAGGGATTAGTTAACAGCTTCACATTCACTCAGAGACAACAGACGAGAGAGTCAAGTTTAAAAGTTTAAAGATTTATTACCAAACAAATTAAAACTAGACTAACTTTAACACTAAATGTATGGTGTAACTAAGGTGAGGTAAGACTGAGAATGGTGTATGTGTGAATATTTCAGAACCAGCAAATCCGGAGAAGCGATTAGTTCTGACGGGAAATGAAGGTGATGTCTTTGCGCTAAGCTTTAGGAGATTCATAAACACATTCGACGCCATTCTGTCGATCTACATACCCTGGTGGAAGTCCCTGTTAGATCAGGAAGGTCGAGGTCCAGGTTGACCTTCCCTGGAACCGAAGCCGGTAGGAAAAGAAGCAGTTGCCGATCAGTCCAGTCTGTGAGATACTTCCGTGTCACAACGGTTTTGTTGGCATCTAACAAGACTCAAACCTGGGCCGTGATGGTTCAGCTTTTATTCTGAAAGGAACCGTTGCAGCAGGTGGAACAGCAACAGATTTTATCCAGCTTGTCGTTGGTTCTTTTGGCTGAAGAGGAAAGTTACGGATTGGCCACTCCGACACTTCTCTAGAACGCTTTGAACGGGCGTTAAAGATGGCGTGGGCATAGTTTTATACTTTGGATGTTTTGGTTTACGGTCGAATGAAAAGTTGACAGATTTACCAAACACCACCAAAACCACGCCTCCGTCAGATCTGGCCGATTCTGACTGGATCAGTAAAAGCAATGTGTCATGTCTTAATGCTACGTGAGATCAGTTGTTAGATTGCCTGTTGTTAGTTGGTAGATATCAGGGAGGGAGTTAAAGGGTGTCTTCCTGGGGGTGTCGGTAAGAACACAAGTTCAGGCTTTATTTCAACTTGGCCTCTTTATTATCAGGTGAAATGTAGTAGCAACAGCAGTCAGTGTGTTTACATGCAGCCAGTAACCCTTTTAAAACCAGAATATTCACAATAACCCGGTTCCGCAGGTCCATGTAAACACTGCCAAAAACCCGGATATGCTCAAAACCAGGTTTTTAAAAACCCGGTTACTACACCTGGGGTAACCCTTTTCTAACCCGAATGTTTGGTCGTGTAAACGCATATCGGGATATCCCCATCAACGCGTGTGCTCTGCGCATGCTCTGTTCGCAAGGAATCTTGGTCTTTTGAGTAGCGAGACGTCTTGTATGCGCCAGAACACCGGAAGTAAACAAGTTGGGGGCAAAATGGTGAGTCGCGGCACAGCACCACACTTTTGGAGTGACGAGGAAACTAAAGCGCAAACAAACGCGGTCGCTATCTCTTCTGAACTGGGAAACATGTTGTTGTTTTCACGTATACCGGAACAAGAAGAACCGGAAATTATGCATATTGCGTCTGGACGTAGTCCATACGTCCTGACGCTACCCCAACGTCCGCATTTAAATCGGGTTATGCAAGTTAGAGCTAACTCTTTCTATTTATGCTTGTAAACGGGTTATTCTGATCAACTCAGAAACCCAAATACCGACCTTAACCCGATCATAACCCGGATATTGGCTGCATGTAAACGTACTCAATGATGCAGGGCTGAGCAATGAGTATTCAACTCATTAAGAATTACCCAGAGTTAACAGGGATGTTGGTAGGTGAGTGTGTGGTCTAAAGGAAAGAAAAGAATAATACAGGAAGAACAGATTAACATAAAATATATTCTGCCCCATTTGCTGTAATACAACCACATAGAAGGAGCAAAAACCCTCTAAACAGAAAATAATATAATAATCAGCAGGTCCAGCAACCCAGTCTACATGGCCACACCAACTAGAAACCCTCTGGGTAAACTGCCAGGGCAGGCATGTTACAAGGAGGACCTCTAGTGGCCATTTGAGGGATTTACCAACACTCAAATATTCTGAGATTCTAAACCAAATTACCCACTTTTACAGCTATAAACCACCTCACATCCAACACTGCAACCTACACACATGCATAAAATAGATAACAGGGACCTACCAGTGGCGGCGCCACGGGGGTGCTAGGGGGCGCTTTAGCTTCCCCTGGATTGGTCATTGCACCCCCAAGTAAATATTAGATATGTTTTTTTAGAATTTAATTTTAATTTAACGTGTGGATGTGATAATATTTAACATACAAAACAAAAACAATCAGTAAATTATCATATAGATATTAAAAACTTAAACCAAAACAGGAAATTGATGTTAACCTTTGACCTCATTTTCCACCTGCGAACGAGTGAAAGGTAGCGCTAGTGGTAAGATGGATCGCTTTTTGTTGCCCACATTTCCACGGGTTCAGTCAGAAACGAATGAATCTTCGGAAGTGATCTCAGACCCACAACAACCTACGGATCTGGATGAAGAGAATCATCAATCTTCGCTGCGGCGGTCGAGGGTTGATTGTTTCAGGTGTTGAGGCTTTGTGCATGCATGTGTATCTGCTAGTGTTGAAGGTGTTTTAGAGAACAGTAGGTACGCATGACCACTTCCTTCATAGCACCCTCAATAAAAAAACTAACTACATCATAGCACCTGCAGAAAAACATTTCTGGAGCCGCCACAGGGACCTACACTCATACAATAAGGCAGTGCGGATTCATGACAGAACTAAAAGTTAAAGTCCCATTAGTTGTCACACACACTGATGTGTGTGCGAAATTTGTTCTCCGCATTTGACCCATCCCCTGGGGGAGTGGTGAGCTGCAGACACGGCCGCGCTCGGGAACCATTTGGTGGTTTAACCCCCCAAATCCAACCCCTTAATGCTGAGTGTCAAGCAGGGAGGCATTTTTTCAAAGTCTTTGGTATGACCCGACCAGGAATCGATCCCTGATCTCCCAGTCTCAGGGCGGACACTCTACCACTAGGCCACTGAGCTGGTTGATAACTATCAAGCATAACTATGACGAGAACATTCCAGAACACCACGAGGGAAACAATCCTAACACATTATGTAAGCAGGTCCAGTAAAGACAGGACTACTTACTTAGCAGTCATTCACGCACACAAAGCTGACTTAACCTGGGAACTAGCTTAGTACAACTCTCCACTCTGCTGTCTCATGTGCTTCTCCACCTGCTCAGCTCGGTGGTCTCCTCTGCACTGTCGTCAGCTCTGCTCTGAGAGAGAGAGCGTGAGTCTGCAGGTGCGCCACCTGGTGGCCTTTCCAACATCAGTCCTAGTGGAAACATTTAAAGTCATATTACTTATTATATTCTATAGGATTATAATAAAGTAATTAATATTTTGATTTCACAGATTGGTCACATTATTGACTAACACTTTGTTTGATTAGCTTTATTAAAATAGAGTTCTTTGATTTATTAAAAGGAGAGAGTCAATTCTTCATTCTTCTCTTGAGCTGGAAAGAAGCAGTTTAGAAGCACATGCATGAGACCTTGAGGCCATATCTCATGCAGACTAGTTCTGTGCCAGAGGGGAGGGGGAAATGACATGTGGAACCGTCATTTCATTCCGTTACACGATCAACGCCTCTCAGAGCTGGCACAACAGCTGTCTGAAGAGACAGTGTCTCAGTCTCTCTGTCAATAAAGTTTTTCTTATTTTTTCTGGAATAAAACAGGGAATCCCCTCAGGTACTGAGGACGTAGCATGACCAGATGTGGTTAACAGAGGGCCTTTCTGTATGTAATCGACACGAGCACCTGGGTAGCACAGGTGGGACTTATCATCAGACGAGTGCGGAGGACAGTTTCAAACCACGTCCAACCCTACTGGCCTGTCAACATCCCAGCTGTGGACACGGTGCTGCTGAGCTCCAGAGGACCGGCTGGTGCTGGAACCCGTCCCTATGCAGCAGAACGGGCCAGCAGGACCAACAGGAAGACAACCATTCACCCACTGGTGACACTACAGCTACAGATCCTGGGCTCACTGAGGGAGACCAGACCACCACCAGCAGGCAAGGTGGTCTTGCTCAAGAGCACGACAGCACTGATTTCTTTAGGGCTGGAACCTACAACCTTCTGGTTACGGGACAACCCGCTCCACCTCCTGAGCTGCTGCTGCCCTGTGTCTTCAAGAGACCTGAAGTGTCCGTGTGTCTGTTCTGAGTTTCTGCTGTTTTCTATAAGAACATTCTCACTAATAAAGGTTGTAAGAATCTGGTTGCTGCTTGATTTTTTCCCAGTAGAACAGATGAGCTGGAACCAGTACCAGATGCAGGTGAAACCTTTGGTTCTGATCCGGTGGAGACCGACACCTGGAGTCCTGTAGGTGTCATTATGGGACGAGTCTGGACTGATGGTTCTGTTAGAGCGGTGCCCAGTCCAGGTCCTGGAGGTCCAGCAGGTTTTAGTTCTAACCTGCTCCAACACGCCTGGTTTTAATCAGCAGGTGATTAACAGGCTTCTGCAGGGCCTGATGAGCTGCTGCAGGTGATTCAGGTGTTGGAGCAGAGAAACCACCGAAGCTGCTCGAGACGGGCCGTCCAGGACCAGAATTAAAATATTTACAGGTGAAAACACGTTTAATCGTTACACCTGCAGCAGAAAGGAATGGTAGAAGCAGAAGCTATAGACGACAGGATTGGAGGATTATTTCCTGACTCTCCTCTGATTGGCTAACAGCAGCACGACTCACCACTCACTGCCAGCTCTGTAACACTGACAGTTTATCTCCACAGGATCATGAATGACCCCGTATTTAAGGGCTAACAGAGGATTGTTATTGATATGAACGACCCCGGGCCAGTACCCGGTGAGGAGGAGGTTCTGGAGAACCAGCTGGTACCATAGAGGTGTTTAAGCAGGTAGAGGTCAGAGCTGATTCTGGAGCAGACGAGTTGCTTAAACTCTGTAAAATGGTAAATGATCTGTGTTTGTATAAGCACCTTCTAGGAGTCTACAACTCACTCACAGGATAATGGTGGAGGAGTCTTACGGTACGGAGCGGGGGTTTGAGCAGGAGAGGGAGGCAAGCCAGGTCTGAGCTGGAGACTGTCTGGTGGAGAGGAGTAGCAGGTAGAAATGAACGATCCAGGACAGGTGAGCGGTGGAGAGCGGAAGGCCAGAGGCACTGAGCGACGTTGAGAGTATGGCACGCTTCAGGCAGACAGGAACCGAGGCTAGAATCCAGGGTTGGTACTGGAGCAGACAAGGAAGATTTAAATGAATACAGGAATACGCACGATTCACAGTTCTCAAACAGGAACAGAACGTGGTGTGGCTAGAGTACCCAACATTAGAGTATCAACCGGCGCTGAAGTGTGGCAACACCGCTCCTTAAATCCTCTGGCCCTGCTGACGCTGCAGATGTGATTCTCCGACACGCCCACCTGCAAAACACTGACCCCAAAATTCCACTATCTCCGCTCCGCCCCCGCCTTCCGCAGCCGCTCGCTTCCGAACTCAATTTTTACTGGTACCCACTCTACAACGGCTCCGCTCCGGTGCAGAGACCTGAGGTGGGCAAACAGGCATGCGCCGGATTTTCGAGATCTTGCGATACAGTCCGAGCAATAAACGCGGAAGTTAGATCCAAACACCCGTTGTGTGGGAGAAGCATCGAAACGAACTGTTTAATCTGCCCATCATTTGTGTTGAGAGATCTGCAGTGTTTGGATCAACAAAGTGTGACTCCTTTGATAGTAGAAACTGTATTTATGGCTTACATTTGTGCATTTAAACTTCAGCCGCCATTGATAGTTGTTAAAAGTTGTTAAACCTGTGCATATGAAACAAAAACACCTTTTGTTTATCGCTTTATTGTGAAAAACGGAAGTTGTGCTCGCTCCCTTTCCTGTTGGGCGGTTGTGATTTCTGTCCTTCGACTGCGGAGGTGCTCCGGCGTCCGGCAAATTAGGAGCACAGCACGCAGAGAAAAAGGCAGAACCATGACAGCTGGAGGAGAAACTTGAGGGGGAGGAAAGCACGACCGTGATGTTTTTAATGCAGGTGTCCTGTTCCCAACACATCTGATAATCACAGGCTTACATGAAGCAGAAAAAGTAAAATAAATGTTTTTATTTATCCATTTAGAAAACTGCAGACAAGTCCATCCATGTCATCTCCATTCTCATTATTTTCCCTCCGGCTCCGGTGGAAAGCAGGGCTGACTGAGGGTAACTAATTTTCCCTTAAAGATGTACAAGTGTATTCAAAACAAGTGTGATGTTGACATGTGTGATGGTGATAACATCTGAGTCCACCAAGCAAGTGGTCATCCTAGAATTGACAGTCCCTTGGGAAGACCGTATTGAAGAGGCCCATGAGCAAAAGAGGGCCAAGTATGCAGAGCTGAGCTCAAAGTGCCGTAACAACGGCTGGAAAGTTTGTTGTGGGCCTGTCGAGGTTGGGTGCCGAGGCTTTGCTGGGCACTCACTGCTGGGAACCCTCAAACTCCTTGGAGTAAGAGGACTACAACTGAAGAAGGCCACCAAAACAATCCTCAAGGCCACAGAGAGGGCCTCGCAGCGGCTGTGGATCCACAGGGAGGATCCGTGGAGCAATAGGCCACTTGGACACAAGCTGGGGACTGATCAGCCCCAGCTGGGTCGCCCGGGTGAGGGTGTAGGAAGATTACAAAGACCGGAAACACCCTATGACCCCGGGTTCTTCACTGATGACGTGTCCAAGTAGCACTGGAAGGTGTATTCAACTTCATTCTTGCAGCAATGCTATTTTATATGTATGAAGCTTATGTGTGACCTAACGGCTTAATTACTCCCAGCATTGTTCCGGACATAAGGTGTGTTTTCATGGCTCTATTCCTGGCAGTTGAGGAGAACAACAACATATAAGACATCAAACAGCGATAATGTGATTTCCTTCTCATTGGTTTAATGGCAGATTGCGTAAACCAACTGTGACCTTTGAAGTCTTGCGGGATCATATGATCTCACGAGGAGGTTGGCGGAAGTCTGTAATCTCGCAAATTGAGCGAGGAGCAAGAAGCCGCTTCGCTGCTGAGACTCTCCTGGTGTGCACTGAAGTGCTGGGATTGTCGGGAGTAATTCCATTGTGCAGCCGGAGTAATACTACTGCCATGGTGTGTCTTATGAACACACGATGCAGGAATTCTGCGGCACTGGTTTCAGTGCTGTGATACTCTCTAAAACCTGACTGAAATTCCTCAAACAGATCACTAGTGTGTCAATGCTCACATACTCGATTTGCCACTATTTTCTCAAGGACTTCAGATAAATAATGGAAGGTTAGATATTGGTCTATATTTCATTTTTATTTATGTAACCAGATGAGTGGATTTACAATGGGGATCTGGCCAAGAGGCAGCAGCAACAGACACATAGTTAGCTTCACACCACAGAACAGCAGATAGCTAAGATAAAAAAATACAAGATTAAAATCAGATAGAACGGTTAGACATAAAGACAACGGACTGTTCTCATTTATAATTTGTACATTATATACGTGTGTCTTTAAGCAGTGTCTGATAAGCACACTGATCAGAAACTATTGATAACAATAAATTATTGAAGGTAGATAATGGACTGTCGGTAATGAGCTTCAGTGGTTTTTGCAGCTCATTCCAGTTGTTGGAAGCAGCAAACTGGAATGAGGAGTGGCCAAAGGAGGTGCAAGCTTTGGGAATATCCATAGAGATGAAGTTACTGGAACATAAATGGTGCTGGTTGTTGGGAGTGATGAGTAATGAGAGAAGATATGACGGTTCTACCGATGATTGTTTTGTATATGAACTGATACTGATGTAACATCCTGCAGGAATGGAGTGATGGCCAGTTAACGAGTGAGTACAGATCACAATGATGAGTAGTGAAAGGGGCACCAGTGACCAAACGGGTTGCTGAGTGAGAAATGACATCGAGTTAATGAAAAAGTTTTCTGGAAGCAGTCCTATAAATGATGTCACCGTAATCTAAGATGAAAGGATTGTCATGTTGACAATTCATTAGGTCATCTGGATCCAGAGACGGTTTCTTAAGTAGAGGTTTGATTACAGCAACCTTAAAATCCTGTGGTACGTATCCATTTACTAAGAATAGATTGATTATATCTAAAATGGGGGCAGTAACCAAAGGAAATGCGTCTTTAAATAATTTGGTTGGGAGTCCAATATGAAACGAACAGAAAATCAGAGAGTAAACAGAAACATGTAGGTAAGAAGAAGGTTTCCCAGTAATTAAACAGGTTCATGCTTGAGACAAAATGTCATGCATCTGGGACAGTGCGAGCGCCCTGTCACTGTGGCCCGATTGCTCATGCACCCTGGCTACTTGGTCAAGGGAGATCTCCCTTTGGCTGACTGGTTAGCACGCGTGACTCTCAGCCGGGAGTCCAGGGATCGAATCCTGATCGAATAATTTTTTTATATCCACCACAGAGCTCTCTGAAGAACTCACAGCATTGATGGCTTCAGCAACGCTGTGCCACTCCGTGGATTTTCTCCTATTTGTTTTGCAAAAGTACTTCCTTTCATTTCTCCACCTCACCCACAAGTACCTCAATTTCTGCATGTGAAATAGTGCTTCCTTGATCTGCAGTAGCAATCAAAATGCTGCAACAAGCTGGCTTTTGTATATGCATGGGATCCACAAGGCACTTTGCATTGACCGTTTATGGCAGAAAGTGGCCGTGTTGAGGGTGGAATGTGACTAAAAAGCAGCTGAGAATCTTTCTAGATAGTCTCTGATTTATAAAGGGGAAATTGCGTGAAGCTGTGCATACTCCATGTTTTATAGATCACAAACCTTCTTGGCATAAGTACTTTTTTTTTTTGCTGAGCTTAAGTACGGTTTTAGTAAGGATTCTACGCAATGTTTCATAAATGAGAATCCCTGTAATTTCTGCTCACTGTGCAACTGGTTATAGGCTTAAATGATAAATGACCCACACTGGCATAGCACCTTTCAGAGTCATGTTTCTATTCACATTACTTTAGTGAGGAAAATCTATCAAGTATGAATTTTCACATGAGAAGTTAAACAAAGTGTATGGTTGAATCTCACTCAACAGATGAAACATGGAAGACATCTCACCTGTGTAGAGTCTTCATGTGATATGCTAAATTACGTTTTAGAGAGAAGCGTTTACCACATGTTGCACATGGATATGGTTTCTCACCTGTGTGAGTTCTCAGGTGATCAGTCAAGCTACTACGTTGAGAGAAACATTTACCACAAGTTTCACATCTAAATGGTTTCTCACCTGTGTGAGTTCTTATGTGTCTAGTCAAGTCACCACTCTTGGTAAAACCTTTACCACACACTTCACATTTAAACGGTCTCTCACCTGTGTGAGTTCTTATGTGAAGAGTTAAAACATTATTGTAATTAAAAGATTTCCCACAGAGTTTACATTTAAACAGTCTCTCATCTCTGTGAGCCCTCTTGTTCTTTTTTAGTTTCTGACTGTCCACACTGTATCTGTGATCTTTGTTTTGTTGACGTCTCTTATTTTGTGTCAGGTCTTCATTGCTGTTTCGTTCAGAGTTCCCATTCCTGCATCCATCCTGATCTTGGTTCTCAGCTTTGGAAGAACTCCGACACAACGGTGGATTCCTGAAGGTAACATTTTCCTGCTTCAGAATGAACTGCTTTTCATGCTGATAAATACAGAGTTCCTGCTGTTCCTCTTTGATCAGTGGATGATCTGGTTTCTTCAGGTCCAAAATAGAAGTGCTCTCCTGGTTAAAATGCTGCTGGTCAGTCAGAACCTCCTCATTTTCCCAAACATGATGCTTTAGAAGTTCTGGACAAGATAAAAGACAAAAGAAAACATTGATTAAACCTCCCCACTGTGCAAAGACCTAGTCTGGACATCCTCCAGATGTGGTCTGGACCGACAGACTCAATATAGACATGATCTGCACGTCCACGTGACATTGACTGTTTGCAGGGTCCTGTTATCTGTCCAGAACACCAATGATGATCCTGTGTCAGCTTGACCCGGGACATGGTTACTAACCCAAAAGAGCCAGAAAATTAAAAAAAAACAGTAAACATTGTTCAGTATGAACTCTATCACTATTCAATCAATATTTGGTGTAATGGTGTTTTTGCCTCACAGATCAGTGAGGATAATTCCTGTTTATTTTGTAATGTTGTTTAGTTATTGTTTTTTGTAGTCATGTTGTTACGGTTTCAGCCTGACCATCCTGGATGGTCCACATGCCTCTGCTCTTCAAAAATTGGATGGCGCAGAGTTTTTTAAGCTTCAATGATAAGAAGATGGAGGTAATGGTTTTTGGCCCCACTAATAGTTGTTCACCTAGTGATGTTGATTTAGGACCGATGGCATCACATGTGAAAAACTGCATTTCAAATCTGGGTTTTGAGATGGACAGCGATTTTAAACTGGAACACCAAATTAGCTCGGTGGTGAAGTCTGGGTTTTTCCACCTGAGGCAGCTGGTGAAGGTGAGGCCTTTCCTGTCGAGGCAACACTTTGAAACACTGATTCATGCCTTTATTACTTCTCGGCTGGATTGCTGTAATTCGCTGTACTCTGGGGTGACCCAGTCTGCCCTCAAGTGTCTCCAAATTGTGCAGAACGCTGCTGCCAGAGTGCTGACCCGATCACGAAAGCGGGATCACATAACAGCTATCTTGGCCTCCCTTCACTGGCTGCCAGTGAACTTCAGAGTGAAATTTAAGATTTTAATTTTTGCTTTTAAATCACTGAATGGTCTTGCCCCACCATATCTCTCTGAGCTTCTTTCCTTTTATAAACCGGCCCGGAACCTCACGTCAGCGGACCAACTACTGTTAGAGGTCCCGAGGTCGAGGAAGAAGCTCAGGGAAGACGAGCGTTCTCAATATGTGGACCTGCACTGTGGAACGCCCTACCACTGAGTGTGCATCCGGCAACGTCGCTGTCATCATTTAAATCCGTCCTGAAAACACACTTTTGTCTGCAAAATTTTAACACGGTCTGAGACACTCTCTTGTGTGGGTTCTTTCATTTAATTTTATTTATTTTAACTTTTAATTGTTTTTATCTGTTCTGTCCTAAGGATTTTAAATGGTTTTATGTAAATATTATAGTCTGTGTTGTCAGCGCTTTGTTCTGACTCCTCGTCATATAAAATGCGCTTTATAAATAAAATTGATCTGATCTGGTCAGCACAGCGGACAGAGCACTTCCTGCTCACCTTGTTCCAGCACCACGGACAGTGCTGTATCCAGCTTCTGTCTTCTTCCTCCTTCCACCTGCTGCTGCGTGCACAGCTGATCTTAAGGCTCTTCAAAGGCTCAGAAGACCAGACCTGTGTGGGACTCAGTGGAGCTCTGAGAGCCCTAGATCACTCCGTTTTGAGCATTTCTGGTTAATTGACTTCATGTTTAATGTGGAAGTCTTGTTCTGTATGATATTACCAAGCTACAGCGCTGTGCTGACAACACCTGAGCTTTTACTACTAGACCCTTCTTAATCTTACCAACTCTAGGTTGTAACAGATGTAGATAAAGTAACATTCAACATCTCTTCTGTTCTGGGTCAAATTGACCTGCTGACCTAAAATCCAAACTGATGTCTCAAGAGGATTTTTACCCAAAGTAAACTTTATTGAAGCACTGATTTGGAACAAAATAACAAAACAACAGATCAGCAATATGAAGTCCACAGCACATAAGTGACCACAAACATCATATACGTGGACACCCTGTGGACTGGCGCTGCCTACCTACCTAGTTCTTAACTTCCTTATGTAAAGGATGGGTAGTTTACATCTTACTTATGAACCATAAAATGTGAGATTCCATAGAAATATGAAACATCAATCTGATGGATCATTGAATATTTTAACCAGAAGATCTGAACTTTTTATTGCAGGGATTAAGCGACACTTTGTATTAACTCCAAGGAAAGAGAGAGTCAGGTTTATAATAGTTAAGAAATTTATTTCTACACAATTTAAACAAGACTAACTTTAAACACCCTGTGTACTGATGGACTAGGGTGGAGTGAGACGCGATGAATGATGATGGTGTGTGTGTGGAGTGTTATTCAGAACCAGCGGATCAGGAGAAGCATTTAGTTCTGAGTGGGAGTGAATGTTTCGTTCTAAACTTTAGTAGGAGATTTATAACACACATGAAATGCCATCTGTACGTCTACATACCCAGGGGAAGCCTCCGTTAGATCCAGAATGTCGAGGTCCTCTTGGACCCTCTTTGGTACCGAAGCCGGTAGAAAAGCAGCGGTGCCGACCAAACTAGTCTTGGAAAGCTTCCAGGTCACAACAGGTTATCACTGGCATCTCCGAGACCCTGAAGGGGTCGTGAGGATCAGCTTTTATTCTGAAGGAACCGTTGCGGTCAGGTGTAACTTGCAACAGATTTTATCCAGCTTGTCGAGGTTCTTTATGGCTGAAGATGAAGTCCGGATGGCCGGTCCGAGACTTCTCTAGAACGCTTTGAACTAAAGAAAAGGTGGCGTGGGATAGTTTTTATAATTGTCATATTTTGGTTTACTGGCGAATCAGAATTTGACATGCAAAAGAGGGTTTATACAAACACCACAGATAACCACGCCTAGCCAGAAACGAAGGTTCTGATTGGATCAGACAAAAGGAAATGCGTTGTGTGGCTTTAGCATTACGTGTCATCAGTGTCTAGTGCAAATGCCCAGAATTTTAATTTCTAGTAAAATACTACTGATCACAGGATTATAATATCAAGTAATAACATTGTTATTTCACAGATTGATTGAACATTGGATTCACATTATTATTGGTAATTAAAGTTGTTGATTATGTATTTATCAAAAGAGAGTTCTTCTTCTTCGCTTGGTAATGGAAGTGAAGCAGTTCAGATGAGCAGAGTGCATGAAAGACCTTGGCCACTATCTCATGTAGATTAGGCTGTCAGAGACTTTATGTCTCTGCTCGAGCAGACGCAGCAGATCATGACCTTTATGTCAAAAACAGGACATTCATTACGCTACACTTATGAAGAAACGATGATGTAAGGAAAATCCGGTGAGATACCAGAAGTAGTGCATACCCAGTAAAAAACTTTTTACCCTAAAAAACTTCACTGGCGTGGCTTTGGAAAATGGCGCACTGTTGGCGGTTTTACAAATAACCAGAGAAAATGTAGCTTGTGGCTACAACAGCGATGTTTGTAACAAGCGCCTCAGAGGGCAAGAGGGTGTGGCTGCGAGCATTAAGTAAACAAGATTGTGTCCCACCTCTTTCAATAAAACACAACCAACCTTATTACTGTGTAGGTCCTGATTAGCCTCGGAGCTTTAAGATCGTTTATTGCCCTGTTGTAACTAAAACACTACTAGGTTAGTTTTGGCCAGATTTTAAGACTATCCTCCACCCCTCTGGTGCAGAAGGAGTGTAACGGCGGAGAACTTTGAAGGGGCGGGTGCTTAAAGGTAAAAGGGGGCACATATCGAGTAAGTCAGTGTGATAAATACAGCTATCGTAGCTGAGATCTTTTCCTGTTTGTAGGAAACTCCTGACCCAATTCCAGGATCTCACTCTGAACTTTACACTGAACTGGAGAGCTCTACTACCAACCCGGAAACAACAACCTCTACAGAATATCGGGCAGAATAACAACAACTAGGGCTGCACGATATTAGGAAAACCTGCGATATTCGATGACAGTGCTTAATTTTGCGATATCGATATTACTCACGATAAATGAACAAATACTAAAGTATGCAGTGTTGATGTCATCTGGCGTGTGACGTCTGCTCTGGGTTCAAAGCAAACAAAAAGTAATGCATGAATTCCATTACAACATAACATTTTATTGCAAAAATATGCAGCTGCACCTGCTACTGTATTAGCAGCTGCACCTGCTACTACAGTAGCAGGTGCAGCTGCTACAGTACTATCAGCTGCACCTGCTACTGTACTATCAGCTGCACCTGCTACTGTATTAGCAGCTGCACCTGCTACTACAGTAGCAGGTGCACCTGCTACTGTAGTAGCAGCTGCACCTGCTACTGTACTATCAGCAGCACCCGCTACTGCATTAGCAGCTGCACCTGCTACTGTATTAGCGGCTGCACCTGCTACTGTATTAGCAGCTGCACCTGCTACCGTATTAGCAGCTGCACCTGCTACTGTATTAGCAGCTGCACCTGCTACCGTATTAGCAGCTGCACCTGCTACCGTATTAGCGGCTGCACCTGTTACCATATTAGCGGCTGCACCTGCTACCGTATTAGCAGCTGCACCTGCTACCGTATTAGCAGCTGCACCTGCTACTGTATTAGCAGCTGCACCCGCTACTGTTGTAGCAGCAGCACCCGCTACTGCATTAGCAGCTGCACCTGCTACTGTATTAGCAGCTGCACCTGCTACTGTATTAGCGGCTGCACCTGCTACTGTATTAGCGGCTGCACCTGCTACTGTATTAGCGGCTGCACCTGCTACCGTATTAGCAGCTGCACCTGCTACTGTATTAGCAGCTGCACCTGCTACTGTATTAGCAGCTGCACCTGCTACTGTATTAGCAGCTGCACCTGCTACTGTATTAGCAGCTGCACCTGCTACTGTATTAGCGGCTGCACCTGCTACCGTATTAGCAGCTGCACCTGCTACTGTATTAGCAGCTGCACCCGCTACTGTATTAGCAGCTGCACCTGCTACTGTATTAGCAGCTGCACCTGCTACTGTATTAGCAGCTGCACCTGCTACTGTATTAGCAGCTGCACCTGCTACTGTATTAGCAGGTGCACCTGCTACTGTATTAGCAGCTGCACCTGCTACTGTATTAGCAGCAGCA